GTATTAGGTCTTCATACAAGACTTTTAGTCCCCCATCTAATTTAACATCTTCATAAGCAAGAATCCGAGATCAAAGATGACAGTAAAATAAGCAATATTAACTTGTACTACATGATGATCCATCTACCTCTGTTTCATGTCATATCCACCCTCATAGGGTATAACCTTTAAACCTGAGACAGAGAGGTTAGTATCAATATCATCCCTCTGAATAGGGCAAACAAAAAAACAATTTTGATTCTAAGGCCATAATGACCCCAAAGTAGCCATTATAGCTTTTCATGAAAGTTTGAATTTGAAACAAATGGCAGCTGATTATGAAAGCTAAAAGTCTGCGATATTATTCTAATTTGGTAGCTGAATTTTGATGGACCAAATCTAATTGGTTGAGAGGCAAGAGCAGAGAATTTTCTCTCAATTAAAGAGTGTAGATGACAATCTCTTTTAGCAATACTATTGAAAAGGGTGTGGCTATGCATAAAAACTTCATAATTCTCATGCTCCACAAAATACATAGTAACATCAGTAATCAATAATTTTTCTTAAATGATAATTTATTAATCAAGCGGTAATTTTGTTCAATTCATGACAATGATAATTAAGACGCTTGCTACGTGCTCTAATCTGAGCAATTAGTGTCACGTGAGGCATTAATAAGCAATGTATATTATAAATTGAATGCTGTCTGGTATATCAGTATAAATGGATGGTGACACATAACTATAATCATTGATCTCATAATAGCGCAATTTTCTAAAATCTCATTCTTCATTAATGTTTCATTTTCATTGATATTGTCATAATAACCAATCTGAATTCAGTATCATTTCATTCATTGTGTCGCAATTTTCACAGAGATCAGCTGTTGTGAGTGATACATGGTTGCCATAGCAACACAGATGCTGAGTCATATTCCTGCAATTGTGAAAAGAAAAATGATAGACTGAGGTGTTTTTTTTTTGTGTTTATCAGACGGCGGTTATAACTGTTTATTATCTGAAGGGCTTAGCGGGGGAGGGTGTAAGAACAGTATTTTTTTAATCTGGGTAATGGGTGCGTATATTTCTATTCAGATTGATCAGACTTCCAACGATTTTATGATGACATTTTCAAGATGTTCTATACAGAATGGGGTGTGGCTCATATGTTGAATTCAACCTTATTCCTTCTCACAGACTCTTCGTTTATTTAATGCTCAATACACAATTCAATGCAAAATAATATTGCAATAATACATAATTTGTATGAGTTCAACCATATTAAACATGCATGGATAAAACTGTAAATCTGAGAAGTGTTTTCGATGCAACGATTTCATTAATTTTATTATAAAGTCTATATTCTTGTCCCCATGTGATTATCATTGATTTTTCTATTTGCCAATTCACTTTGAAATACACATTTGGGGCCACATAGGAAGCTCTAATAATACCCAATGCATAATCAATACCGATCTAATTAACATCCATGCTATTTGTAACAAGACAATAGAACTGGCCCTGATAATGTATTATTAAGTTTCCGAGGCTGCCATAGAATCAATAACATTATGCCAGGTTTTCTCTATAGAATATAGTAGCAGATTTTTGCAGCCATATAGAAGATATATGTAGGAAACTCATAATAACGGATATATTATCTCATATGAACAGAAAAAATTGGATGCAAAGGGGATAGGAAAAAGCGAAAGAAACTGGCATAATAGTATGTACCGTATCTGTGTTTAAGACCTTAACATGGGGACATTGTTGTAACTGGAGAAATGAGGCGAAGATATTGAATAATTACGTACATTACCAGATTCCAGTACACACAAGGTAATGATTTTTAAGCCAGTTTGATATGGCAAGGTGTAATGTAATACATGTACTGATTTTTGAAGATGTCACTAGGGGTAGCCGATGGTTATTCATCCAGCCATAGGACTACATAAAAAGACATTAATAATGCCCCCAACCTTGTTGTAACTATAATTGGGGTTCATTGCTCATATGTATCAAGACATGATTAGACAGAATCGCTATTTCTAGGAAATTGTCCTTCTGGCGACAAACTCTGGTTGGCCTGGTAAGTTCACAGGTTTGTCTTGAATTTGAGACGTGAAGCTATCGTTTAAAAGGCAAAGTCAAACACATGCAAAGTTTAATATTGACACCTCTTTACCTTAGTGGTCTCTCTCGAGGGGTTCAGTATGCCTTTTGGACTTTATGGTGGCCTATAATACAAATGGGTTCATTTCTGCTACATATGGGTTCATTTCTGCTCCTAGAGATTTTTTCTGCTACATATGGGTTCATTTCTGCTACATGGGGATATATTGCTGCTACATACGGGTTCATTTCTGCTCTTAAAGATTTTTTTCTGCTACATATGGGTTCATTTCTACTCCTAGAGATTCCTTTCTGCTACATATGGGTTCATTTCTGCTACATGTGGATATATTTCTGCTACATGTGGGTTCATTTCTGCTCCAAGAGATTCCTTTCTGCTACATATAGGTTTATTTCTGCTACATGTGGATATATTTCTGCTACATGTGGGTTCATTTCTGCTCCCAGAGATTCCTTTTTGCTACATATAGGTTTATTTCTGCTACATGTGGATATATTTCTGCTACATGTGGGTTCATTTCTGCTCCTAGAGATTCCTTTTTGCTACATATAGGTTTATTTCTTCTACATGTGGGTATATTTCTGCTACATATGGGTTAATTTCGGCTAGATATGAGACTAGACTTGAATCAGCTTATGTTGCAGTACTACCTTTGTGATGTTATCACGGGTCATTGTGATTCCAGTACACACAATTTCTGCTACATATGGGTTCATTTCTGCCACATACTGGAATATGGGTTCATATCTGTTACATATAGGTTCATTTCTGATTGATACGAGACTGGACTTGAATCTGAGCTTACGTTGCAGTTTACGTTGGAATGTTATTACAGGTCATCATGACAGTGGACTTGATATTAGTCCAATCTGTGGGAGTTGGATCAATCCTTTCATATGTTAGGTTGGATGATAACCAGAGCCTTCTTGGATCACTCCTGAAGGAGACAATGGGAGATGAGACATGGTTGATGACTGATAAGACATATCAGAGAGAAATTGAAAGAATTGTTTTGCTCAGAGATTTAACAGTGTTCATGCTTGGAATAATCTTCTGTCTGATGAAGCGCATATCTGTTAGGAACACCTTTCTAAAAAGGAACACCTCTTTATATGGTGATATGTGATATTCCCATATTCCTCAAAATGGAGCTAAATCATAATTTAACTTGATTCAATCAAAATACATGTATCTCGATATTTCACAATTTCAGTAAGGTGTAAACAGATGTTCAACAAAACGGCATGCCATTATTGCATTTTCCCGGTTTCTCTAATGCAGGGGAGATCACTGCCGTAAGCTCATGTTTTACTGAACTGTACTTGAGTCCTTATTAGTGCTATTGATTTCTGTGGCAATCTTATCACATTGTGATTGATCTTGTGCACTATTTATAGCAATGATGTGTTTGTAAACATACTATCTAGACAGTGTTATTCACACATTTGGCTAAAGTGCACTACAGATGTGATTAGAAAGCTACCATTAGAAAGCAGTTATATTATGTGTTTGCTGGTTAAAGCATTTAGTGAAGTGAGGGATACATTTAACTGTGATTAATTTGATGCCATGATTTGTATATATTAATTCAATATGTAAATGCAATTTACAAGGCAAAGGAAGTAAATCTGTAGTATACTACGCTGTTTTTGAGTTGAATTTAAAAGCAGTTGTCTCATGATCGATTTTATCAATTTCGGGATATTTTGGGTTTGTGTTCATTATAACTGGCTGTACTCTGAGATGTTTCATTTCCTTTGGCTGTACTCTGAGATGTTTCATTTCTTTTGGCTGTACTCTGAGATGTTTCATTTCCTTTGGCTGTACTCTGAGATGTTTCATTTCCTTTGGCTGTACTCTGAGATGTTTCATTTCCTTAGGCTGTACTCTGAGATGTTTCATTTCCTTTGGCTGTACTCTGAGAGACATTTCCTTTGGCTGTACTCTGAGATGTTTCATTTCCTTTGGCTGTACTCTGAGATGTTTCATTTCCATTGGCTGTACTCTGAGATGTTTCATTTCCTTTGGCTGTACTCTGAGATGTTTCATTTCCTTTGGCTGTACTCTGAAATGTTTCATTTCCTTTGGCTGTACTCTGAGATGTTTCATTTCCTTTGGCTGTACTCTGTGATGTTTCATTTCCTTTGGCTGAACTCTGAGATGTTTCATTTCCTTTGAGATGTTTCATTTCCTTTGGCTGTACTCTGAGATGTTTCATACTCTGAGATGTTTCATTTCCTTTGGCTGTACTCTGAGATGTTTCATTTCCTTTGGCTGTACTCTGAGATGTTTCATTTCCTTTGGCTGTACTCTCAGATGTTTCATTTCCTTGCTCTGTTATTAACACATTTGTTTTTTCCTTTTGGAACTTGTGCCAACACATATATAGGTCATTGCTTAGGTCAAATTACGACTATTCCATGGAACTGCCCTGAGATTAGTTATGATTATTACTATAAGATTACTATGGAAAAGGGTGAAATAGAATAGTATGCGATTTTCATAAAAACAATAGGGTGGTATCGAATACTATTGGTAAATATACCTTGAATGTAACAATCTGCAAATTACATAAATTATAGATTCTTAATACTCATAAATAATAAAAAAGAATATCTGGTCAATCTGTTAATTTTACAAAATAAATTGATATATTTAAAAAAAAAAAAGGAATATATCTTACTACAATTAAATTCTACTAGAATTTACAAGCGATATATGTTAGAGGTACAATACATTGGCTACATACCTATCTGATCTAATATTTAGTATTCTGTGCATTGTGTGTCCTAAAGTACATATGTATATATAAAGAATCACAAATGGCATATAGAAAAGTTAAAACTCTATACATACTACAAATAACATATTTTTATTTATAATTTCAGCTTCAAACATCATGTGAGCAACTCATCACTCCTCTGGAGAACTTCAGAAAGGATCAGATAGGTGGCGCTAAGGAGGGGAAGAAAAAATTTGACAAACAGACATCAAAATTCTGTCAATCTCTAGAACGCTACCTTAGTCTGAAGACAAAGACAAACGATAATGCCTTACAGGAGGTTAGTGCGAAATAGATGCCCTTTTATTTAATAATTGTTATCCCACCGAATGAATTTCGTAGAGATAAAGAGAAGCTGTTCGTCTGTTTATTCCTTCATCCTTTTGTCAGTTCATCTGTTCGTGTCCGGATGGTAACTCAAATACCAGTAGACGGATTTGGTTTAAATTCTATGGGCATATGCATTATGGGTGTAGGACCTTTGCTTAAGAATGAATTTCTAACATTGCACACTCAATTCAAAATGGTGGCAATTTTTCAAAAAATTAAATCTTTGATAACTGAAATACCGGTTCAGTTGACATATTTGATTCAAACAGGGTATCAGGAATATGTTAACAAGCAGATGTAACCCAAGAGATAGATTGCAATGGTTACTAACATGTTAGTTGTATTGTTATAGGCTGATGGAGCCATAGAGATATATCACTATAGTCACTGTCATGTTGTTGTTTTGTTTTAGGCTGATGCTGCCCTAGAGATGGAAAGACGCCATTTCTCTGAAGCATCCATGCAGTACGTCCTTCTTATACAGGAAGTTCATGAACGGAAAAAATTTGAATTTGTTGAAACCGTAAGTACCCTAAATAGTTGTATCATCACTGCTTAAAAAACAAAAAAATAATTTACAATTGTTATGTCACCTCCAGAAGTGTTGACATATTGTTATAGTCTTCAACTTTTTTTGTGGATAGTGTTCAGGCATCTGTAACAGTGTTTGGTGGTCTGCTTCTGTAACAAATTGCAGATTGTGACATTTTGTGTGTTTTAAATACCTTAAAACTTTGTTTATTTTCTGTTAGTGTATTTTTATGATATTCAGTGATTTAATGATTTAACAATTTTTATTATTTAAATATTTCTTAATTAATTTAACATTAATTTATTTGCAGCTTCTCACATTTATATACAGTTGGCTGACTTTCTACCACCAGGGGTATGAGGTAGCCAAGGAATTCAAGGAAAACAGATTAACAGACCTACAGATCAAAATACAGAAGGTTAGTTAACCAGTTATGCAACAGTTTTATCCTAGATTTTAATAAATACAGGAGCTACTATAATGATGCAATAGTTTTATCCTATTGTTGTATTTGTTGTATTTTTTGTTTACCACCAATGAAGGTGAGCAATACCTCTAGGGTATATCCCGTATATATACGGTCGTAATTTACGTAATTAACCTTGAAGATAGGCCCAGAAACCCCTCCTTGAAGGAGCCCTGTGTTCTTTTATGTGCATTTTGTATTGATAAACTAAGAATCTTCTTATTTAACCTCTCAAATTTCAAATTTATTGATCAGATACTGTATTTCTATGTTTAAAAACATTTGTTGTACATACAGCTTTCTCCAATTTTATTCTTTAATATAAATGTTTAATAAGGATGTAAGATTAACTTGAAAATGTAAACCACTACGGTACATTAACATGTGGAATTAAAAAAGAAATATAACAAGTTTTATTGTTTGCAGACTCGAGAGAACTTTGCCACAACACATGTCGAGGCAGGTCAACTTATGAAAAAAATGCTGGAGGTGCGTGGAGCGGTAATACATTAGCCTTGCTTCATGTTAACAGGCACTACTGACACATCACTACTCATTAACACACATCCTCCATCAAAATATAGTTCTAAAAATTTAGTATTACATGATTCTTCGTAACATATTCAGAAAAAACATGGATGTTCTTGATTGGTATAATATCTGGGGTTGAGTGAATACAAATGCAGTTGATTTAAATAATTTATGACTCCAGTTTATGGTGAAATTCTCCAGTTTGCAATAAATTGAGGTTATGTTGTTTATCATGTATCGTCATGAGAGCCTCTGGTGTATAAACATGTGAGGTTGCTGGTGAATATATCATGGGGCAATATTGTACACATGAAATTCAAGTGAAACCATTACACAATCTTTGGCTGTTTTAAAATGGACTACATACATTTTTCATCATATTTTCATGTTATCACATGCTTTTAGCGCAATATGCTTTTAAGTGTTACACAATTTTTAAATCTTTATTAAAGTGATAAAGGACCTGTCATATATTAGGACCAATCATACAGAATCTGTCTTACTAAATGCCTCTCTTGCTATTCCTTGATTTTTAAGTTTTTCTTTTTTTCAAAATACTGATATATTTTTCGGGGATTCTTAATCTGCTTTCTTGGGATGATTTTTCTCTCATTTCTCAGTATCATAATCACATCTTTGGTTAAAGTCATTGTTCTATTGGCTTAGCTCAACTGCAAATGTATTTGATTAAAGGTGAATAACTGTTTTATATATAGTATATGTACATGTACCTTGAATATGTACAGTACATGTACCTGTACCTCAGATATGTGCAGAACATATACCTTATCTGTAATGTATGTATAATATGTGTACCCATGATATGTACAATACATGTATATATTATGTGTATATTCCAGGTATTGATAATATGTATAATACATGTACCTGTAATTAAATATAATACATGTACATATAATGTATATATTAAATACATAATAGAACATATATTCTGTGTAATGATGTGGCGTAGTGTACTGATGTATTCTTTATGTCTTGCGGTCAGGCTTAGTTATTCTGATACGCAGATTATATACGCTAGAAATTAAATAATTAATTTTTATCAAATCATCCAATTAACAATTACCTGTATTATAATGGTGCCCTTAGTTCCCTATTTATAATATAAAAAGCTTGAGTCTGTTGAAAAAACAGTATTTCGTAGTTTTTATGTATTTCTGAATCATGCTGCATGAATTTACTTTATTTTAATTTTTTAAGGATCGAAATAATTTCTTTATTTGAAATTAGCTCCATTATATAAGAGCTTAACACAATATATTTGTTAAAGTGTAGTATTTCAGGCATCCTTCGATGATGTTTTCTTATTTTCGCAAGTTAAGTCCAAAATGATGCCATATTATGGTTTGTTTGTGTTGATGTGATCGTCACTGTAGCCTAGCATAGATTGTGAATGGAGGTTGTTCCCTTGATGCATTTTCTTTTATATATATTACCCGTAGTTCTCAATAATTGGGCTCTTCTATGATTTAAGATGAGAATATTGAAGATAATCCTAGTCACGAGACAACATTATTAATTATGTCATTTGACTAGGTTGATCTTTCATATTGATATGTTCAATTCCTAAAAACGTGCATCATCACTTCTTTTGTTAAATCTTATTTTGATTCAAGAAATGTTTAGATTATGGTACCTGCTAATTCTAAATATATAGTTGTCTTTATATTGTACATGTAAGTAATATTGCAAAGGGCAGAGGTTCCAAGTATCTCAGCGATCACATTTCACGCTGCATGTGTAGAAAGAGAGGAAATGTTATCCCATAATGCATCATACCAATGGCCTATCTCTGTCATCCAATAGTTTGAACTCTAATTGATATCACATTATGTTTAGATATTTCCATGAAATCTGAGTATAACAGTCTATCAGTCATCTTATAATGGCGTCGTCTATGAATGATGGGATATCTGAACCTTTTTTTGCACATGCAATTAGTGATTGCTGGGAAGGTACCTCTCTTTGCAAGTCAGCATGGGTTTCACTATTATTATAAGTTAGAGCATAATAAATAGCATTACAATATTATTCTTTAATTAATTAATTTATTCCTCATTTTCATTCTTGACAATTTTGAGTGAATTTTGCTCTCTTGAATTTTTAAAAGATCCAAGATACATTTTCCAAGTTTTGCCAATTAATTATGTTACGAGAATGTATTTATGAATGTTGTTGAAGTAGCATGATATTAAATTAAATTGTAGTAAGCATCTTGTGCTTGTGTAGACTTCAAGTTGAATCATCGAGCTTTCAGAAATATTTCTTCGCATAGTTTCCAATTGTAATTTGCACAGCATGAATATGTTAAATATGCAGCATGCTGTTGTAACATGACATCTGATACTTGTACTAACATGATTTGAAATGCACGATTTTTGGATTGGTTTGTTTTCATATTGAGTATTGTAAAATAATTTAGGTATCAAATAGTATGAAGTGATTGATCGATTGATTGATTTTAATGTGTTACCCAACTTAAGTGTTGTGCTACATTTGTTATGTTTTATACATTAAATTAAAGAGGTACATGTATAGATAAAGTGACATTCAGATGGTTCAGTTGATGAATAAACTCCTTTGTGTTAAGAGTAGATTATACCTTGCCCCTTCTTATACTCTCTTAGGGAAGCTAAGAGGAGGAAATACCCCACAATTCATTGAACCTATCTCCATTTAGAGATAAACCTCTAGAAGTTCATGTTCACATGGAGATAGGTTCACTGATGAATTCTGGCGTATTTGCTCCTTTTAAGGAAGCCCACGAGGCTATGACAGTACAGGTCAAAACGGAGTTCATTCATCATAAAATTAACTGAATCATCCTTGCCTATATTCCTTTAGCTGTTTTTACAAGTATTGCTATAGTTTATAGATGTGTTACAGTTATATTTATTCACCTTTTGTGTTGTATTTTGTATTGGATGGTATACCCTTTCCTTTCCCCTTTTACTAATCAAGCTATAACTTAACTTTTTGAGTCATTTTTTCTTTAAATTGTAATGTTTGTTTTTAAAGAAAAAAGCATGTTTCAGTATGTAATATATGTTATTAGAAATATTTATTCTTATAATATTATTTCAAGACCCATTTGGTCAGTAATCCATTGTCTTATATATTGTTTTCAGAAATGGACCCTGCAAGGGTGGTCAATTACCCATTCATCCATGTCGTTTTCAGAAGCAGGACCCTGCAGGTGTGGTCAACTGTCCATGTCTTACATGTTGCTTTTAGAAACAAGACCCTGTAAGGAAGGTCAATTATCCATGTTTTACATATTGTTTCCAGAAGCAGGACCCTGCAAGTGTGGTCAAAGAGTTCACTAGACAGGGATATTTATACATGTTAGAAAAAAGTAAGTACTATTAGACCATTGTTTTGAGAACATTTTTGCCTTCAAAAGATAAAAGTACTTCAAGCAAAATATAGAGTAAAACGTTTTTGTTATATATAACATTTTACAAGCCTCTCATCTTATTGTAATTTCAAAGTTTATTCCTTGTATGTCATTCATTAAAAAAATGTTTACCGTCATGTATTTTATTTGGTTGAACCTGTTGATATGCTGTAGACTTACATCTTTTATGCTAAAATAGAGTACAGGTGCAAATTGTATACAAGCTATCATGTTTAAAACATTGATCAGGGCTCCCGCCACAACCTATTGGCAAATCATGATTATTTCCACAATCTAAACTTGACTGAATACATACAGTGTGTAAAAAGGATAACATATGATTTATCACGATTGAACAGTTACGTAGATGTCTCCACCATACCCTAAATATTTCCTGATAAGAGCCCTGTTGAAACTCAAGTAATTTTTGAATTTGGGACTTCTTTATTATAGAGGCACTAGGGGTAGGCACCACATGGACCAAGTACTACTGCCAGTATCAGAAGGATGGCAAAGTGCTGAAGATGATCCCCTTTAATCAAACATCTGGAACTAAAGTAGTAAGTTTCATTGAAATATTTGGCACTTAGGTGCACCCTTTGTACACAGATCATTTGAATTTACTTGTTAATGATGTAAGGAGAGACAAAGTATTTTCAAGCTATCTATTTGCATATGGTGAAATGGTAAATATCACTGGCAAAGTAATTTCAAGCAATCTATTTGCATATGGTGAAATGATAAATATTGTAGCGGTAGCACAATTTTTATATTCATTTATTTTCATTAATTAATTTCATGTTTATTTCTCATATTTTTCATGGAACATTTATATGCGTTAAATAGAGCAGAGTGTCTTCTTTTTACTGGTTTTTACCCCGTGTAAATCGGATAAGTATTTATTGAGTTATGACAAGTTGAAAAACATGAGTAAACTGAGATTATTTCGCTTTGTCGGCACTGCCGTAATAGTTGTCCAGCTTTAGCGATCAATAATTTACTTAGATCTTGGACGGGTCACTTTGAAGTTTTAATTAGTTTGACAAGTTGACAGCTTGGGCTGGTCTCCGCCCCCTTAATTTGCATATTTCTCGAACGATCGTAAGATTTTTGTTGGGAAAGTCAGTCCCGAGTTTGTATCTGAAGAGAGGAGGTTCAATTTCTACATTTTTATAAAGTCCCGAGTTTGTATCTGAAGAGAGGAGGTTCAATTTCTACATTTTTATAAAGTCTCAAGTTTGTATCTGAAAGTGATAAAACGTATACGAATATTTCGGCATCTGATCAAGTTTTACATAAGATTTTGGATTTTAAAGGCTTTGGATTATAATTACGATCATTTGTAACTGGATTTACTAGTATTGGATTTATAATTGGATTTATACTTCGATTACATTCACAGAAATCATCATGTCTTACACGCCTACAAGGTAAATAAAGTTTATCGTTTATTAATAAAGTTTAGCTCATTTCTTTTGTTCAGTTATTTCAATCTCATCAATTAGTAAATTACTCCATCCATTTGAGCGATACAAAATCCTTTCATACACAAGACGAAGCCACAACATCATCTTTCCAGTGCCTTATTTTTAATTAACGGGGTTTCCGCTCGGCCCAAATTTATTCTTTCCAGTATGATTCTTCGGCAAATTTATTCCATACTGGTGAAATTTATTTCAATCAAAGTAACTCCCGCCACAATATCACTGACAATGTAATTTTAAGCAATCTATTTGCATATGGTGAAATGGTAAATACCATTGATAAAGTAATTTCAAGCAATTTATTTGCATATGGTGAAATGGTAAATATCAGACAAAGTAATTTCAAGCAATCTATTTTCATATGGTGAAATGGTAAATATCACTGACAAAATGATTTCAAGCTATCTATTTGCATATGGTGAAATGGTAAATGTCAGACAAAGTAATTTCAAGTAATACACTTACATATGATGAAATGGTAAAAATTGCTGAATCAAATTTCTGTGTGAATCAAATTTCTGTGTGAAGTTACATTTAAATCAAATATCTGACCTTACTTTTGAATTAAAGCTCACTAAAACAAACATTTGGGTTAGATGCAGTTCCCCCTGGGTTATAGCATGCATCTCTTGTTTTCTTACCTGTTTACCCGATACCCTGATGCTCTCCAAGTGCTCTACATTGTAAACATGATTATATTGGGAGAACCCAATTGAATTTTCATTGGAAATGAAACATGCAAAGCCACAGAGACACGCCTAACCATCGCGTAAGCAGGCGTCACCGTACAGCGTCAAAAAATACAGTAGTACAGTTTTCTGTACGGTGACGAAATTTAACTTAGTTGAAGCAAAAACTATAATGAGGGTTTTAAAAAGATTAATTAGACGTAAATAAATACGATTTCGGGTGTAATAAAAACAGCATTCTCTTAAGAATGGTTTTAACTTTCTAAATATGACAAAAGTTTTTCGAGCACTGCTCGGATTTTTTCTGACTGGATCGGCCCACATAATCGACTCGAGAGAAAAATGTTTTTTTTTTCACTTTTCGTTTGGCTATTATTTTCCCTGTCGTCTGAGAGTATGGATTATTTTTATGAGAATATGTATTTGTTATCTACACATTTTAGAACAGATGAATATTCGGCAAAAAATCATTCAGTGTATTTATTCAAAAAAGATCAGAACTGTACGGTGACGCATCAGCTGTACGGTGACGCTTCCTTGGATTTTATGAAGAGCTCTAAGCTTACTGTTCGAACAAGAGGTAAAGAAGCGTCAGATCTACATGTACATTATCACTGGTAAGTATCAAGCGAAGGTTACAGCCATCACCTTCGCATTTAAGATGGCGGACAGGAAGTATCAATTTCGATATTTTTAGTTTTCATGGAATTAACTATTTGAAAGTTGACGTGATGCTTTGGTATCATTTGAACTAAACCAGACTTTTCTCATATGACTAACAAAGATAGCCTACACAGCCATCTTTACCCCATGCAATATATTGCATCTTTCATCCTAAAAAGTCACACGTGCAAGATGAGATTTACTTGTGACATCCCTTGTTTTAAAACATCAATAACATAGCAACAAGAGAGTTTTTGGTTTCATGATCTTTACCGTATCATACATTTCCAGTAACCTTCCATTATGTATGTAACGGTGCTATATATGAACAAATGATCATACTCCAGAGTTTCCATTTCATACAATCTTAGTCTCATTTAGTTCATCAAACCATGGCGTCACCGTACAGCTGGTGCGTCACCGTTCAAATTTGATCTTTTTTAAATATACATAATGCATGGTTGTTTGCTGAATCTTCGCCCGTTCTAAAATGTGTAGTCAATAAATACATTTTCTCAAAAAAATAATCCATACTCTCAGACGGCAGGGAAAATAATAACCAAACGAAATGTGAAAAAACAACCTTTTTTCACTTGGGTCGATTATGTGGGCCGATTCACTAAGAAAAAATCCGAACAGTGCTCGTAAAACGTTTATCATAATCAGTTAGTTAAAACCATTTCTGAGAGAATGCTGTTTTTATTTCACATGAAATCGTATTAGTTTTCATCAAATTAATTTTTTTTAAACCCTTGTCATAGTTTCTGCTTCAAAGCAGTTAATTTGCGTTACCGTACAGAAAACTGTACTCCGCTATTTTTTGACGCTGTACGGTGACGCCTGCTTACGCGATGGCAAGGCGTGAGAGATAGCCAATAGCAAAGCATTTCACTTCTTAAATAAATTAACATAAAATCGATTTTAAAATTGATTTTATCTAAATTATCTTGGGTGTGTCTTTCCAGGGTAACACAGAAGAATACACTTTGACATCGTGCACAAGGCGTGCAGCTGATACAATAGAAAAGAGGTTCTGTTTTGACATCACGGTGGCGGAGAAACAGAACACATCATTCACACTCCAGGCATTGTCTGAAGATGACAGGAAACTATGGCTCGACGCTATGGATGGCAAAGAGCCGGTAAGTTAATTCTTTACAATTTTGTATTTCCAAAGGGTCAACACAGAATCTTTGTAAATTAAGAATTCTTAAATCAATTGTTGTAACCATGGATATAATGATGTCATAGGAAGAGAACAATTGACATTAGAAATTCCTAAAAGTTTCGGTTAATGGCCCCCAATTTATTAAGCCATGGATGTCCATAATGTAAAATTTGCCACATGTTTCAGTGACTTCATCGAGGTATTTATTATTGCTAATTTGAGGACAAATTATGGGTCTGGAGTTGTCATATTTGAATCAATTCATTGGTTCATTGAATACATTGACAAACAATCACATGGATACTTCCCATATTTTGGCCCATTCATAATAATATTGGTCCTGTAAACTCATATACATGTAGGATCTAGTGTCTCCTTGCAAATTCACTTGGTATGAGCATTGACTTTCTCCAAGGATGCTCAAAATGTCAAGTTAATGTGACACTGGATATTTGACTCATTTAAAACATGATTCTCCAGGTACTGATTTTGTAGATCAACATATAGCTTTAAAGTGTCGTGAATAATTGCATTTTTGTTTAAATTTTAGTGAATAATATTGTATGTTATTAAATGTTTTATTTGTTTTTCACTGTTTGTTTCAGATTTACTTACAACCTCAAGTGGTACCCAATGACAGTAAGTTATCAATTAGTGAAAACTAATGTAGAATAAATATTCCATAGAGTTTGAAATAAAAACAGGATATTAAAACCATCATGATCCAAAATCTGTATGCGACAAACAAATTGTTTACATATTGATTTTTGAGCGAATATTAGACAGTCTCCTAACACCAATCTAATCCCAACACCTTTCACTGTGAACACTTTTTCTGGGTCCCAATTTTGTTATCTCATGTTCACTTACATATAAAGAAACATTGAAATGTGAACACTTTTTCTGGGTTCCAATTTTGTTAACTCATGTTCACTCACATATTAAGAAACCTTGAAATGTGAACACTTTTTCTGGGTCCCAATTTTGTCATCTCATGTTCACATACATATTAAGAAACCTTGAAATGTGAACACTTGCTAATCAGGTTTGACTTTATAACCTGTACAAATACAGTTTAAATTGGTAAAACACTGATTGACAGCGTGCATGATATGAAATATAATGCACTGTATCTCTCACTTCAGTTGTACTGGATGATATTGGATTCAGTTTCATCCAAAAGTGCATAGGAGCCATTGAGTCCAGGGGACTGGATGACCAAGGTCTATACAGGGTAGTCGGGGTCAACTCTAAAGTTAGCAAACTTACTTCAATGGGACTTGGTGAGTACATGTTTTATTTTATTATACTATGGGTTCAATTAAAGGGTTCAGCTTGTTCTACATGGGTCTATACAGGGTAGTCGAAGTCAACTTTAAAGTTAGCAAACTTACTTCAATGGGACTTGGTGAGTACATGTCTTAAAATACAGGGTGACACAAAAATGCCAACCACTAATTTTTGAATATCTTTCTAATTTTTTTGTGTCACCCAGTACTATGGGTTCAATTGGTCAACTTAGAAGTTTGTGTTCTTTCTTTAACATGACTCATTAATTGAATGCCATGTTGAAGGGTCAAGCCAAAATTCAGTAAGTGAGACTTATGTCTGTGGTTTGGACTTGTCAAAGTTATAGACTAAATTTAGTAAAATGGATTTATGTCGCTGGTATGAACTTATCATAGGGATAGACTAAGTTCAGTAAATGGGACTTATTTCTCTTGTTTGAATTTGTCAAACACATAGACTAAATTTAGTAAATGGGACTTATTTCTTTTATTTGAATTTGTCAAACACATAGACTCAATTCAGTAAATGGGACTTATGTCAGTGTCAATAATCAGTTGTATTAAATGTTGACTCTAAATAAAGGCTAAATGTGTTTTGTAGTCAAATGGAAGTCTTCTTTTAACTCAATGTAAGTGATATCATTGTACATTGGTGATCTTCTTTTCTTTTAAGATCGGAGGAAAATTGACCGTATCAATCTAGAAGATGACGATGAATGGGAGATTAAAACTATAACCAGTTCTCTAAAGGCCTACTTTAGGTAAGATACTTGTTTCTCTTTCATTATTACAGGTTCTCCAGGATCAATTTTCTTCAATTAAACATATTTTCTCAGATCATGTTTTTAGATGAAATATTTACCTACTAAGGTCTTATAACATTCAAAGACCACATTCAAAGGACATCAAAGATAAATTTTTAACTGCTAATTCACTGAGTGTTCTAATCTACATCCATAGTTTATTGTGAAAAATGACTTTTAAATTGTACAAATATTTTTGCGATTATCATTACCTAAATATATTTAGAAGAACAGAAAGTAGCCCTAGTGCTACATTCCCAGTCTACTTCAATGAAAAAAATAGATGGTAAATTTTATTTAAAATGTGTTTTTAGGTCACTACCAGAGCCTCTAATGTCGTATAAACTACATCATAAGTTCATTACTGCAGCAAGTAAGTTATTTATAGTATTACATATGATATTAAAATTAAGTTCAGCAAAACATGTAAAGTCGAACACCTCTCAAGTGGAACATTATTTTGAGGTTCTGAATGTGTTCCACTTGCTCAGGTTTTATGGTAATATTTGTTCGCCTCTATTTTCCCAGTCAACATATCTGTCCTTATCTCCAAACTTGATAACCAGAACTGGCAGGTAAACACTTGATTCAGTAATATTTAGTTGAATAGACTATACAAGGTGTATCTTCTATATTTGTTGTATCACCACCACAAGTGGTGACATATTTTTATAGTCTCCTACTTTTTTGTGGATGGTGTTTGGTCGTCAGTGTCGCTAACAAATCATTCTGTGGACAGCCTTTGTCACAAATGGCAGGTGGTGATTTTTACATGTTGATACCTTGTATTATTTTTGTCTGTATTATGATCATTGACAATATTTTATTTTTATTTTCTAGAAAAAGAGAGTAAAACACTACGCATTAATGACATTCATGCTCTAGTCCACAAACTGCCCGAATCTAACTTTGAAATGCTTGACTGCCTTTGTGCCCATCTGCAGAGGTAAGTAGACTTATATTGAACAAAATCATGTTGATCAAATTTCAAGATTTTCTTCCTCTCCCAAACTCTAATCCAAAACCAGAAAAATTCAATTGAAACAAAATTTTCTGTCTACATTTTCAAGTTTCCCTTTCAATCCATCGCATTCCTTTTTGTTGGTCTTAACACTGTTTATGTAGAACTAAGAGGTTAAAGCTTGAAAGTGTACTGTTTCATTAAATGAGAGATGTTGTAAGAATACATTGTACAATAAAAGTGCTAAAAGAGGACATAAAGTATATATCATACAAAAACAAAGATTTATGATTTCTCATGTTAGAGTTGCAAGCAATGCAGAGATCAACCTAATGACTGAGGCTAACCTGGGCGTGTGTTTTGGTCCAACCTTAATGAGACCTGCTGAAGAAACTATGGCCGCCATTATGGACATCAAATTTTGTAATATTGTTGTAGAAATTATGATAGAAAATTATGAAAAGGTATGTGAATACATGGTGAATATAATTATATTTAATTTGTGATTATGATGAAATAGAACTTGAAGAAACTGTTATTATCCTGTTATTCTAGTATTATTTATGATATTCTTTTATTACTACATTCAGCATATACTGTGTCCCTAAAGTAAGATAACTGCCAGCGGTTTTTAATTCTTTTTACAAAACAAGTTGAATATAGCCAACGTGCATGTATCAATTAGTTTATATCTATTCTATTATTGCATTGAAGGTCTGTTGTGTTATTCATAATTCCATTAATGATACTAATTTTTCAGATATTTAAAACTCCACCAGATGGTGCTGACATCACTGAGGTCAAGGTCGCGACATCAGGAACTCCAAATATGGACATCCCTAAAAATAAAAACCCTATGACATCATCAACATATTCAACTGACTCGACGGGAACGTCACCACGAGATTCCCATTTTGTGCCAACCAATCAGAACCAGAGTTACGCAGCCTACAGAGCGCGGTTGCGACCTACTGCAATATATGATCCAAGACCCCCAGGTAAAGTCCGCCATACCCCTAGTATTCTGGCAAAAAAAAAAAAATTAACGCATTTTATTTTAAAGACTCCCAAAGTCGATGCTATCGTCAAGAATTGAAAGTTACATGTAATTCTTAAAGTCCCCGTCTAAAGTTTGAAAATCTTTTTTTAACATTCATTTACTATTTGTCAGGACTTAAAAAGTAATTTAAGAGATTTTTGAACAAAAAAAATTTTTGATAAAAAAGTTGTGAGCATTTCATTTTTCAAATATTCAAATTTCCCGCCATTTTTCAAAAAAAGTTGAAATTTCTAAATCATCAAATATTTCTTAATGCATTTCAAAAAAGATTATCTTTTTAACACCAATGCAAAGATTGAACAAAGGACACACTATTTCAATAATAAAATGCCATATTTAATGGGCCACTTCAATGATTTAGCATATCAAAAATATTTTGAAACATTAGTGATGTCACTAAGGTACCCAAAACATTTTGAAAAAAATTGAAATTTTTTTTTCGATGTCAATCTTTTCTAAATATGTTAGACTTTCATAAAAAACCAATGTTGATTGTCTAACCAGGTTAAAAGGAAGAATAAATTATGTTTTACATATCATTGTACCATTGGTTTCTATGAGAACTAAAATTTTGAAATGCATTTTTCTCAGAACCATTTTTATGCACTGATAAGTTCATTTCTCGCTTATTTATGAACCGATTTTCTTAATTTTTTCGGCAAAAAACACTGGAGGATGAATGCTATGCATTGGTATGAATTGTGGCTAATTAGAAGATATGAGTGACCTCTAAAAGTTGGTTTTAAATAAATTCACAAATTTTGGAACAAAAAGTTTATCAAAAACCACATTTTGAAATTTAAAAAAAAAGTTTCACATATCACACTTTGATCATATTGGGTAAGACTACAATATAAGCCAAAGTGGTTTAAACTTTAGATGGGGCCTTTAATATTTTTAACATTGAACATGGTTACTGGCGTGATTTTTAGGTTGGAATCGTGATAAAATGTTTTGCTTATTTCTATCAATTTTGTATACTATACTATGAAAAAATTAGTATTGATTATGTTGATTATTGGGGCATATTGAATTTTATTGGTTTTCTTGTATCCTACAGGTTATTACTGGCATAAAAACAGTAGAGATAATGGTTAGAATATATACCTCAATATTGTTGTTTTATACTTTATTATAAGTAGCAACAACACTTATTTTCTTTCACCATTCATAATCCGAATATCCCAGATCCCAAATATGGTATAAATTAACCCATTTTCATGATTTCCATTAATACACCATTAGTTTGTATACAATCGTTGAAGAGATTTCCCATATTTCTTGAATTTTTAAGTATCATACACTGAATGTGAATCTATCCATATACTAAATAGTAATGAAAGAAAATAAATGTTCGAGCTACTAAAGTAAAAAGTGAGTTACTATGTGATGTATTCATTTGACGAAAAGTTTATACTGGTTTATAAGCAATTCTCTTTTCCACTCTTCACACAACTTTAATTATGTTTTATCATACTTTTTAGAAGTTTAAGTGTGGTCTACTTAATAGGTTTAATTTTTTAAAATTAAGTTTGAGAAGAGTATTTACAATTGTACATACATTTACCAAACCTCCAATTACGTCACACTTTCTGTAGTAATTTAAAACGTGACATTATTTTGATTTCAATTTCACAATATTTCAATTGATTCATTTTTCTCACGGATTCATGAAGAGGGGAGGTTAATACCCAGAATTCATAGATGAACCCATCTACATCTAGAGGGTCATCTTTACATGGTTCCTCAATGAATCCTGGGGTATTTCCTCCTCTTAAAATTCTGATTATACCACCTGCTTGTTTATTGTTGCATGACTCTTGTGGTTTACATGTAATTGTATGGGTTAGTTTAGAAGTCCACAATAAAACATGTTGTTTAAAGATATATAAGGCTAGGGCAAATAATTGAAATGTTTAGCCTATCTGCCACCTACATGTACATGTATTCCAAAATTCAGAATATGATTTGGTTTACATGTACCAAGATGCCAATAAACAATAATAATATATTAGTCTTAATATTCAAGTCCTTTTGACCCTCTCCATCATTCATTCCTCGCCTCCATATGTTGAAAGTAGATGGGGTGAAGTAGATGGGATGGGGGGGGAGGGGTGCAGAGATTTGCTAAAAATATCTTTCTAACTTATGATTGGCAATACATATATTATGAATGGCAACAGAATATTACCATTGTAATCTATGATATTTACAGGAAACAGGCCTCTGGATATTTGTTAGAATATTGAAATAGGCAAGCCAAAAACGCAAGGGGATATAACCGTACCATTGAGCTTCATTATTAGGTTTATCGTGACAAAACATATGAATGAATATTTTTGTGTAAAATTTTGCCAATGGCCTGTAGCATGCCTTAAAAGGAGAATCAGATTTATAGGGAGGGATGAAAACTTAAGACCTTTAAATACCTGTAAAAGCAAATGTCCAACAATTATTTTTTTGACTAGCACATTATTTCATGTTTTAGGTGATACAAATAGTAGCAACAGCAGTAGTTCAGAGTCATTGAATTCAAAAGCATCCAGTTCAACAGCATTTGGTCAGACACCTTCCATGAATGCAACGCCATCACAGAAACCAGCAACTTATGCTAGTGTGGGCTCCCCTAGTAAGTAAAATATGTTGTAAAATGTGTATATATTTGAATATCTCTCGAATCCGAACACCTCTAGATTTAAACACTTTGTCATGGTCCAAAATTATCCAATGGTCCAATTTTATCTTTCGTTGACTCACATATTTGAAAAAACTTGAAATGAGAACATCTGCCAATCTGAACACTTTTGGATGGTCCTAGTGATCTTTTACCAGTTTACTGTATATGAAACTTGGAATGGTTTTTTGATATCTTGGTTTAAAATATAAATAAAGTAGCTCATGGAATTAAGGGAGACAGTTATGGACTTCATTGCCTTTAGTTCACCTATAAATTCAAATCTTAAATGAACATCATATCTTTAAAATCAAGCAGTTTATAGAAGAATATAATGTTAGGGTTAATTTTAGTGGTGACATATTGTTATATTCTCCAACTTTTTCTGGCTGGTGTTCAATGATTTGTGTTCAGCGTCTGCAACAGTCTTCGTTGGTTGGCCTCTGTAACATTTAGCAGGTGGTGACATTTTGCATGTTAATGCCTTGTTTTGATATCACATGTACATGCATTGTAAAAAATGGACTCTATTTTCAGGCCTGGATAAGGCAAAGCATACTACAACTGCCGTTGCTGCGGTGAGGCCTCAACGTCAAGATACCTCGTGAGTACACATGTACTTAAACTGCCATCTATTAAATGGTAGTCAAACTTTGTATAGCACAAAGTTAAAACAATTCTGAAAGGTTTATACGTGTAGATTTATAGTAAAATGCACAACTCTTAAATTGCCTCAATTTGGGCATCCATACATACATCGTACTTGGACAAATGAACTGATTGGCCATGTTTTCTTGAGGCTGCTCATTTTTGGGGTTGTTCACATTCTCAGGGCAGTTCAATCAAGTTGTCGCAACTAGGAATCCATGTAATGGTTCAGAATAAAGTTTATTAAGAATCCTATTGACTTTCAAAGTGTTAGAGACCCAAAAAGTCGATTTACATTGAGGTGAATTTAATCCTGTGCATTAGGCTACACAAGAAATGATGCATTTGAGCTTGGACTTTTTTAACAGCACTTTTTATGAAATAAATAGCTTATTATCCCACCGAACGAAGTTCGAGGGGGATATAGAGAAGCCGTCCGTCCGTTCATCCGTCCGTCCGTGTGTCCGGGCGATAACTCCAATACCGGTTAAGGGATTTGGTTCAAATTTTATAGGCTTATGCCTTATGAGTGTAGGACCTCTGTTCGAGAAGGAATTCTCAATATGGCCGCTCAATTCAAAATGGCCGCCATTTTTCGTAAAAATGTAATTGTTGATAACTCAAATACAAGTTGACGGATTTGGTTCAAATTTTATATGCTGATGCCTAGGGACAAAGGAGTTTCACACAAAAAAAGATTTTCGAGATGGCCGCTTAATTTCAAAATGGGGGCCATTTTTCGTAAAAATATGTAATCTTTGACTCAAATACCAGTAAACATATTTGGTTGAAATTTTATATGATTATGCCTAGGGACACAGTAGCTCTGTTCAAGAAATAATTTTCAATATGGCGGCTGAATTTCAATTTCATGCTTCTATCACAAAGTGCACAAACATTTCAACATTTACACTAGCTATAATAAGCATAATATGTTTTGTTCGGTGGGATTTGCTACTCCGTGGAGTTGCTGTTTTTCTAGTTTTTTAACAGAATATTTGTCTAGATTTAAAGATTTGATATTTATATATGTTTTATAGTAGATTAAGTTTAATTGGCATTTGCAATCATGATAGAAATATTTTATTTTCTATACAGCTTTGAAACGGCATTCACCACTGATGCTAGATTTTATTTTCTAATTTTTGCTTGCTTAAATATCTTTAATATCTTTCCTTATTTCACTGCTTTAACTTAGGTTAAAACTCACTATAAATACCTTTTGTGTAATAATTCCTGGGAAATAGAACAGGGTTACTTGAAAGGCCTATAGAAGACATCTATTGGCATTTAAAATGTAAACCACTATCTTTAACTCAATAGGTAAAGTCCTGTAGCATGTTCTGAAGTTCAGATGAACTGTGTTATAAGTCTGTAACACATGCCATTTCACTCAAATGAGTTTGTCAATTTTTCTTATTTATGTATAGCAAGCTTGATATTTTATTGAAATTGTTATTACCAGGACGTCCTTATATGGATCTTTGAGGAAGAGACAATCGGCAGACTCTTTAGATTCACGCGCCCTGTAAGCAATAATTGCATGATCTGTGTAGTATACAGTGAATATGTGGTAGTTAATATTGCATGGATTTCATCATCTCCTGAATGCATGGCTACAGAACTCATTTTTCCTTCTTGTGAGAAACTTGATGAGTTCTAGACATCTGTGTACAGAGGGTGGGATTTCATTGTATCAGTCCAGTTCTCATTGTATCGGTCCAGTTCTCATTGCATCAGTCCAGTTCTCATTGCATTGGTCCAGTTCTCATTGCATCGGTCCAGTTCTCATTGCATCGGTCCAATTCTCATTGTATCAGTCCAGTTCTCATTGCATCGGTCCAATTCTCATTGTATCAGTCCAGTTCTCATTGCATCGGTCCAGTTCTCATTGTATCGGTCCAGTTCTCATTGTATCAGTTCAATTCTCATTGTATCGGTCCAGTTCTCATTGTATCGGTCCAGTTCTCATTGTATCAGTTCAATTCTCATTGTATCGGTCCAGTTCTCATTGTATCGGTCCAGTTCTCATTGTATCAGTCCAGTTCTCATTGTATCAGTCCAGTTCTCATTGTATCTGTCTAGTTCTCATTGTACCTGTCCAGTTATCTTATTTGATACCACATGATTTCAATGTGTTAGTCCAGTTTTCATTGTTTAAATTCAACAATTACTCGAAAGGATAGTTTGGAAAATTGGATGAATATGTAATTTTGCTTAGCTTGAAATATGTCTGTTTCCTGTTTCATGCAGTTTTGTCTGAAATAAAGAATAAATACATTGTGTAAAAAATTGGTATCAATGTTGATGTGGTTTCCTCTTGACTGATTATTGATTTATACATCAATTTGACACTGACACTCGTAGAATCGTCCATGTTAAGGTGAAGACTGTTGGAAAATATACCGAACCTTCCCTGCTCTTGCAATACCAAGTGGCATTTTGTCATGCCATGCAATACCAAAGTGGCAATTTGTTATGCCATGCAATTCCAAAGTGGCAATTTAGTCATGCCATGCAATTCCAAAGTGGCAATTTGTCATGCCATGCAATTCCAAAGTGGCAATTTTGTCATGCCATGCAATACCAAAGTGGCAATTTGTCATGCCATGCTATATCAAAGTGGCAATTTTGTCATGTCATGCAATACCGAAGTGGCAATTTGTCATACCATGCAATACCAAAGTGGCAATTTTGTCATGCCATGCAATACCAAAGTGGCATTTCATAATGCCAAGCAATTTGGCTGCATATTGCAAATTAGACTCATTTCATTATTTTTGCATATACATGTATATAAGTTGCATATCATCTCCCTGTCCCCATTTATCAAGCCCCTGTACTAACCATTCCCCTTATTAAGTCCTTGAATAAAGACTTCCCTTGTTAAGCCCATGTACTACCCATTTCACTTGTTAAGCCCCTTAACTACAATATCTCATTGGCTCATACTGTCAGCCACTACAAACCTAGAATTTGGCCATGAATATATTTTTGATAAAAACCTCTTTTTAGATCTGTTAAAAAGTCTTCAACTTAAGGTTCAATTCATCCTGAGTCTAAGTGTCTTACTTTGCTACCCTCCACCCATCAAGTCGTGCAAACCCCTCATTCTATTTGTAATAGCAGATTTGATATAAGGCTTCTCGATATGCTAGAATACTATAAGGCATGTTTAGTATACCTATGACCATGCAACTTTATTATCCCATCGAACGAAGTTCGGAGGGATATAGGGAACGCCTCCGTCCGTCCGTCCGTACGTACGTCCGTCCGTCCGTCCGTCCGTACGTACGTCCGTCCGTCCGTCCGTCCGGGCGATAACTCAAATACCGTTGGCCCGATTTTGTTCATATTTTGTACACATATACCCTATGGGGGTAGAAGTTCTGCTCAAAAGCTGATTTTCAAAATGGCCGCTCAATTCAGAATGGTGGCCATTTTAGTGCCGATTTTACAGTAATTTAGGTTCAATATGTATAACTGTAATAGCAATATGTTTTAAATGTAAAAAAATTATGAAGGACATTAATAAAGCTATAAATGTAGACATTAAAGAAGCACATGGCAGCCATCTTGAAAAATGGCGGCCTTTACTCGTTATTTTACGATTTTTGCTATAACTCGAAAAGTAGTGGAGCGATTTTGTTCATATTTGGTATGTGAATACTATAAGCATTGCACACTGCCTAAAGACACTTTTGGTAGAAGGCGGCCATTTTGAAAAATGGCCGCCATTTTAACGTTTATTACTATAACTCGAAAAGTAGTGGAGTGATTTTGTTCATATTTGGTATGTGAATACTATAAGCATGGCACACCGTCCTATGACTCTTTTGGTAGAATGCGGCCATTTTGAAAAAAAATTTGAAAAATATTTGATATGTGAATACTCATGAGCCTTGCACACTGTCTCATGACACTTCAGATAGTAGGCAGCCATTTTATAAAAATGGCTGTCATTTTTACATTTTTTACTATAACTCGAAAAGTAGTGGAGCAATTTTGTTCATATATTTGATATGTGAATACTTTAAGCATGGCACATTGTCTAATAAAACTTTGGGGAGTAGTCAGCCATTTTGAAAAATGGCCACCATTTTTATGTGTGTTATTTTACAAGTACATGTATGCGATTTTTCAAAGATTTTATAGGTGGCTACTTAAAAGCATATTATTTCTTCTGATGACAACTTGGCTAGTGAGCAACCATTTTGAAAATGGTGGCCTTTCTGGTGTGTTGTTTTATGATGTTTGCTATATATTTTGTTTGTAAAAATGCCAGCCATTTCTGTTCGATGGGATTCGCTACGCTTTGGCGTTGCTGTTGTTCTGGTTTATTTTGTAAGATAGTATAAGGCATGCCCTATTATTAGATCAATTAAGATAAAGCTAACTTGGTGATGTTGCAATGCAGGCTTGCTGTAGTGTCAGTATGTATTGTGATGTCACAATGTTGCTTGTTGTAGTGTCATTATGTATTGTGATGTCACAATGTTGCTTGTTGTAGTGTCAGTATGTACTATGAAAGTGAAGACCACTATGAAAACTTTATACCAATCCGGTAAGTCAGACATTCCTGTACTTGTCATGAAAATAAATTTACTCCCAGATGAGTTTCCCGAACATGTTGGTGCCTGCCCACCCTCATTATTTTGCCATTTTCTAAGCATTTTGTTAAATATAATGAAACAGCTTTTAACAAGAGTTGCTATTCACTTTTTTTGCACTAAACCTTTGGGGGAGCCATGCCCATGAAAACCACCAAGTTTATGCCATCTTCTTTACGTTTGAGCTTTACAAGGGTGTAATATTCAGTCCTCCGACCTTATCACCCTTTATGATTGCTTTGGAAATATTTCAAACTTCAGTCAGGCAGCTGTGGAACATTAAGACATTTCAGTGTGGACTACTGTATGTTTCTTGAGCAAGGTCTGATTAAGGCAGGCAAAGTAGAATGAATATGAATTATCTGATAAATGTATCAGTCTCTGCCTTCCTTAAAGTCCCCGTCTAAAGTTTGAAAATATTTTTTTATAATTCATTTACTATTTGTTAGGACTTAAAAAGTGATTTTAGAGATTTTTGAACAAAAAAAAATTTTTGAAAAAAAAGTTGTGAGGATTTCATTTCTCAAATATTCAAATTTCCCGCCATTTTTTAAAAAAGTTAACATTTCTTAATCATCAAATATTTCTTAGTTGCATTTCAAAAAAGATTATCTTTTTAACACCAATGCAAAGATTGAACAAAAGACACACTATTTCAATAATAAAATGTCATATTTAATGGGCCACTTCAATGTTTTAGCTTATCAAAAATATTTTGAAACATTAGTGATGTCACTAAGGTAACAAAAACTTTTTGAAAAAAATTGAATTTTTTTTTCGATGTCAATCTTTTCTAAATATGCTAGACTTTCATAAAAAACCAATGTTGATTGTCTAACCAGGTTAAAAGGAAGAATAAATTATGTTTTAGATATCGTTGTACCATTGGTTTCTATGAGAACTAAAATTTTGAAATGCATTTTTCTCAGAACCATTTTCATGCACTGATAAGTTCATTTCTCGCTTGTTTATCAACCGATTTTCTTAATTTTTTCGGCAAAAAACATGGGAGGATGAATGCTATGCATTGGTATGAATTGTGGCTAATTAGAAGATATAAGTGACCTCTAAAAGTTGGTTTTAAATAAATTCACAACTTTTGGAACAAAAAGTCTATCAAAAAACACTTTTTGAAATTTAAAAAAAAAGTTTCACATATCACACTTTGATAACATTGGGTAAGACTACAATATAAGCCAAAGTGGTTTAAACTTTACACGGGGCCTTTAAGGTTGAACATTAAAGTGGTATTAAAGTTTGATTTGTTAGCTAAAATGTGGGTGATATTATGATAGCCTTTATCACGGTTAGCTCTTTTGCTTATAATGCTTTGCTTATAATTTCCCAAGGTGGCCACACTTGCCCACACTTGAGAACATACAATTCTCTTAATATGTACTTTTCAGGGGTTACCTTATAAACTTTGATGATATGAAGGAAAATATGGGGAAGTTTTTCATTTAGCTCAGATTATACCTCATTTAGCTTTGTCAAGCAAGATTATTTTGTAGCATGAAACTTGTAATTTAGGCATGAATGCATGGCTGGAGAAGCATTGGCCTTTGTATTGGTGGTTCTAAAATATTGTTTAGAGCTCTATGTTTTTTTATATACAATATATTGTATAATATGCATGAAGTTTTGTTGGAACTCATATTTATTATGTTAAACACATATTTTAAATTGGTTTATTGTACAGGGCGTCAAATAAGTCTGTTCTCCCCCCTTAACTTTTTTAATTTAGAAATAACATAGGGTTATTGTATATCATCTTAAAGGGAATTCAATTTGCTGATCATACACCAAATTATTTTAGGGTGATTGGTTGAATTCAAAAGTTTTTAGAGTATTTGTAGTGATTTCCATATTTCACATTTTTAATAATTTGTATAATTCCCCCAAGCAGCTCGGACAGTCTCAATCCTATAAGGATACGGTTCTAAAATGTTCACAAACAGGGATGTTGCACTTTCCAGGCTTTTAAGAGCTTTCTTGATACGTTTGAGCAACATTTCATGGCTATGGAGTTTCTCCTCTGGTTGATCTTTAATTAATTTTTCGACCATGTCCTTCATAATTGCAGTATCAACTTTTCACCGTTCATTCACTATCCTGGTAATTTTACTTGTTTTGACGCAATCAATGGTCAACTACAGCCTTACAAGAAATATTGGAGCAATTTTATTAGGAAGAGTTTGTTATTGATTTTTAAAGGGTGATCAGCATTTTCCATGAGCTTTAAAATGATATATGGGAAAGTATAATACATTTAAGAATAAAAAAGTTAAGGGGGGAGAACAGACTTATTTGACGCCCTGTACTTGTTGAATTTGACAAGTTTTCACAACTGAACTGGTAACAATTTTAAAATTAACTTCGAATTTTTGAAATTCAATTTCAGCTGAATTTCTCAATTAATTTCCTATAAATTATAATATGCATGGTACATGTACATTGATACTATGTTACTAAAGTATTTGTTGCAGATTGTTCACCCAGAGTTCAAAAATCCCACTGCTTCTGTTTGTTTTTCCATTAACATACAGTTGGCTTTAAACGCCCCCTCCCCAAATCTCCATCATTAAATTGTCTAAAGTATGACAAATATGATAAAATGTACATGCTTGTGTGTTAATACAGTATAACATATGTTTCATGTTTGATAGTTTACTAAATATGTGTTCTGGTATATTACAGTAGTTCATCCACTGGGAGTATGTCAAGCCTATCAGGAAGTGGATCCACGCAACAGTTGCCAGGACGACGGTATGTACAACAACATTTCAGTTCTCATTATTTTTAACCATCAAGAAGAAACGTCAGGGTACCTGAACTGATTAAAGCATACTCCAATTACTGTTGGCTTAGGAAGATTGATTCACAGAATTCTTTTGCAATGTTCTTTTGACTCAGCATCAATCAATTTGGGAATATTACTACCAAAATGTTCAACTCCGGTCTTAGTTTGAACATGGACATTTCCAAATTGATCTATACGAGTCGAAAGAGGAGCGCAAATGAATTCTGGGAGACAATCTGCCTTTGACAAATGGTATATAGAATATCAGAAAAAAATTAAAACAAATTACAGAAAATTAGATATCCTCATTGCTTACTCTCTGTTTACTCATAGGGGAGTTGTAACTTTATGTAAGGGTGGAAAAGAATTATTTTTCTTTTGGCGTGTACTACTCAGTCCATTCATACATCATGCTTTCATCAGTTCAGTTACCCTGTATATCATCATAGAATAAACAATGATTATCTTAGATAGCTTAACAAAGTAATAACAGTTTTACGTTCATGGTAATTTCAATCTTTCATTATTTTTTTTTCGCTAGCTTATGCACAAAGCAAGGGTACAAATCATACTCAAAATAAGCTACTTTGCAACGTAAAGAAAAACATATTCATGGCATATTTATAAAGAAAATAACGTCTGCTATTGTAGTACTGAAATCCACCGCCAGATGTCCCCCTCCCCACCCGTTTGTTTACTGAATACTCGGTAGGGATAAGGCTTGAATTGCTGCTTGAGAAATCGTTTTTATACAACTTTTTTATTGTCACAGCTTGGGGTGACTTCAAATTAATACAAAATACTTAATATGGACCAGTCTGGGAGTTGCTTGGTTTCTTGAAATTTTCTCTCCCCTCATTGTTAATCTTAAAGTTGGATTCACCTGACTAATACAGACCTAATACTTCATTTTTGCACTAAAACGTATTACATTGCAGTAGAAAATTTAGGATTCATAGCTTTACAGTTGGTTGTGGATAATGCTTTGGTTCTAGGCTTATTTTATATTAGTGATTTTTTAGATTTTGCTTTTTAATACTACCTTCTCATTTACAGACGTAGCCTGAAGTCTGTGTTTTAATACTCACATTATGCACTTTTGGTTTCGTTCATCATTTTAGTTTTTTAGATTTATTTCATAAATGAAATATACAGTGAATTTACAAGGTAGGGTCAAATTGACTACCACCATTTATGTCCCCATGTAAGAAAAGATCATAAAGATATCATAAAATACATGGCTAAAGTTTGAACAAATACAAAATAAATCTGTTGAATGCAAAATTTTACGAAGTGAAATATATTTATTTTATGGGAGGTTAGAGAAGAAATAGGCTTGGGGATGCTGCTTCTAATCATAGGGTGGATGAGGGGGGGGGGGGTAATGAAGGGGTTTTATGTATGTGGCTGAAGTGAATAATATGAAAATCAAACATTATGAAAAATGTTGTTCTTCATCATTTTAATGATTTTGGTAATCATGATTTATAATCATAGACATTGACTTTATTTTTAACTTTATTTCACTTAGATGAGCCCTGGTTATTATCAGCATGAAAAAATGATATTCCACATTTTATTTGGCCTTTTTTGAAGAGCTTTAGATTTAGTTTTGGTTTCTGCCAAAACTGTCCTCCATCAAGAGTGGATGATATAAAGGATCTTGTATCATATTTAAAAGGAATCCAGCATGTCCTTTCTTTTTGATTTTACATATAAATCATTAGATTTTGGAGATTATTAAACCTACCACCTGTAAAAATCTTATCATATTGGACTTTCAAGAGAGTTAATACGATCACATTATATTTTGACATAGTATTCAGTGTGAATACATGTAAAATCAAAAAAGGTGGGTGTGGCAATTCTCATTTTGAAGTTTTTATGTTAATATAGCATAGCCATCTCCTTGAAAGCCCATGTAAATGATGAGTGTTAAAAAATTGAATAATTAATACTTATATGTGTTTTGTACAGGGCGTTCAGTAAGTAAAGCTAATTTTGCTCTCAAACTTTTATTTCTTGTCTATCATCGTTCAAATTTTCAGTGGAGAAGCATCAGACACTTTTCTAACTATCCTGAAAAAATGATCAAGATATAATGAATAACAGCAAAATGGTGGTTGTCATAGTAACGCGAATACGGGTTTTGCGGAGCAATTTTATAAGTTCACAGCATAGTAGATTTTGTCAACGTTAGTTTCTGTCCTGTCTATATTTCAACCATAGTTATGTGGCTACTCCACATTTCTACTTTCAAATTAGCATTCTATTTCATGTTCAAAGTAGTTCCCATTAGCTTTCACACACAGCTGATGTCGTTCTATCCACTTCTGATATATCCTGTGGATGCCATCTGGAAAGTTCTTTGTCAGCGAACGTTGAACGGCATTCTGAAGCTCATGGATATTTGCGTGGATCTTACCACGCAGATCATTTTTCAAACATGAAAATACCCCCAAAATCGCACGGTGCCTTGTCAGGAGAATACGCCGCTGACTGGCCTTGAACGTCCATCTCCAGCGTTTTCTGGATAATATCCTGCACCATTTGCGACCTATGCGATGGCGCATTATCTTGATGGAATATGTAGGAGTTGAGAGTCCTATGGGGCCTCTTCTTGCGAATCGCCATGATTTTGATGATGTCATGGAGCAGTGTCTGATGGATCATTCTGGATCATTCCATCTGTTGTATCATCTGTCTGTGATTTCATAGACTACTGTTGCCATGGTATCATATTTGTGTATGTTGTTATGTTTGTCGTGACTTTCAGCCATAGCAAACAAAGACACATGCAGCATTAATCTTAATCAATTTCATTGCATTATAACATTATTTTTATTAAAGTAAGAAATTGCTCCGCAGAACCCGTATTCACGTTACTATGACAACCATTGTTTTGCTATTATCCATCATATCTTATTTTATTTTTCAGGGTAGTTAGAAAAATGTCAAATGCTTCTTCACTGAAAATTTGAAAGATAAATGACAAAAAATAAAAGTTTGAGAGCAAAATTAGCTTTACTTAATGAATGCCCTGTACATGTTCCAAGCCCACTTTGATCAAATTTTAGTATGTAACAGCTCCCTCTACATGTACTCTAATATGACTATATGAATTTCAGGAAAGTCCGTACTTTATATGCATGTGATGCAGAGAATGAATCGGAGCTGTCGTTTGAACCTAACCAGATAATATACAATGGTAGGTTGTTGATAGAAGAACTGAAACAATTGGCTGGTGAAACTAGTGGATATTTGGAAAATTACCAAATTTTTATCAACTTCGATATTTTGAGCCATGTTGGATGTTCAGCTAAGAAAAAAATCAAGAATTTGAAAATTACCAAGTTGGAAGTATGTTTGCATCTTGAAAATTTAGAAAATTTTTATCAACCCATTTACTCAGATATTTTGAACTATGTATGTTTTTTGTACAATTGGTTGAATAAGAATTGACATTTAGCTAAAAGAAAAGTCATCAGAAGAACATGAAATATGTGCAAATGAATAAATCTCATATGCTACATGTACTCGTATATGTACATTTTGTCTAATGTAGCGCTTTATATGTAATGGAACTACCAAAGTTCTTGAATAGCTTAAAGGAACTGTCAAGACTAATTCCTGAACAGTCCTCTTAGTGCATGTTCAATACATAAGAATTCTGTTTCACTACAGATTGTATTGATGAATGGTCCACCTTTTAATGAAAGAGCATGCACTGTCTAACTCACCTTTCAATGATACAACTTTAATTCTCAACAGCACATTTATATTTCACCTCATATTAATTCAATACTAAATGGCAATCTTATAATCCTAGCACTTTGGTTAACAAGGATTAGACCATCATGCAGTTAAAAATTCATGGTTCATGGATTAGGCTACTAATCTATTTAATATGTACATATATTTTTCATTTGACATCTTTTACTTTCAGTAAAGCCGTCAAAGGAACCAGGGTGGCTAGAGGGCTGTCTGAACAATAAAAGTGGACTCATACCCGCAAATTATGTGGAATTTTTAAACTAGTTTGAGGTAGTAACTAGTTCAATAAATCTAACAAATGCAGTCATGTACAGAACTCTCTGAGACACATTTAGGAAACCATGTCGATTTGAATACTGGGAATAACAAATCCAAACAGTTTAGCAGCCAAATGGCTCTGCTTTTCCTATAAAGAATAAGTCATTGTTTTTTCAGACAATGAATCCATTGATTTTTGATTAAAAATACTCTCATTGGATAAACAAGGTACAAGTATATTGAGTGTATTACCATTGGATTATTGTGGAAACTGCACTTATTGGATTACCATTGAAAATACATTCAGTGGATTACCATTGAAAAACAGTCATTGGATTAATACGGAAAATAGATTGGATTACCGTTGAAAATACACTTATTGGATTATCATTGAAAATATACTCATCGGACTACCATTGAAAATACACTCATTGGATTACCGTTAAAAACAGTCATTGGATTTAATGTGATAAATACACTCATTGGATCACCATGAAAAATGCACTCATTTGATTACCTTGGAAAAGTACAAGAATTCTTACAAGATCATACATTTGTTACTACATTATATATTAAATCACACATTTTAGTGGCCATTTTAGTGTAATCCATGTACAGTATATGTACAGATACATAACGAAGAGAGTTGTGACCAATATTGTACTGGTGTATTAAAACTACTAACATATCACATATATATCAACACCAATAGGAGAATCAGTCGGGAATATCTTCCTATGACCAGACTCTATTATGAGAGTGGTTCATGTATGATAGAACGTATCAGTATATAAAAGTATTTTAAGTCGATTTCTGAAATGAGGAATGATCTGTATGATCGCATTGCCTCTTAAGGTAGGCAGAGTGCAGTGAGGAATCTGGATTATTAAATTTAACCCTCTCTGCCTACATTAAGGATCTATAGTGATTTTATTTACTTCCAATGATACAGGAAAGAAGATGTAAAACTGGAACTAATAGGAGTCTATGTCAAATAATATATACATGTACAGCACCTGTTTATATACTATTTACAAAAATTGTGGATTTTAAAAAACGGTGCCAGGAGCGTGTGGATGTATAAAATGATGATTCATATTTACACACAAATACACAAGACAGACACGGACAGTACGGACACCACATAAGTATATGCACACGGTTGGTGGAATTATTGCCAAACCCTGAACTGACCATTACCATGAATGTTTTTAGTATACTTAGTCAAAATGAGTTAATATATATTAATTATTTTCTTTGCAGTAGAAATGATAACTTTGCCTTATGTGTGAAAAAATCTTCAAATGTAAAATTGAAAAATGAAATGATTTAAGATGGATATCAATTTTGATCAACTTTTATTTATTCACTTTTATTTATTCACTTCCTGTTGAGTCAATGTATGAGGAAGCACTTCAAATTATCAATGACAGATAAATATCTTAATTTTATGGAGGGACTTAAAGCCAAGTAGATACAACACATATAATCCATTAACTTTAAACTTGATTTTTGATGTTCTCTCATCAAACATTATTTTTTATGTCAATCGGAAATTGATCTTTTGAACAGTTCCTAAGGTTTGGAGTTACAAGAAAACCCACATGATTTTGACTTATTTCTATCAAAAGCATTATGAAAAATTGTTACGTTATAGAAAAAATGAGTTAGTATAGATATGAAATATTCTAAAATGTCTTTTTGGATGATTCTACCTGTTTACATTGATAATCAAATTAAGATTTTGAGTTTTGATGCGGGGGAGTGTCTATTGTCTAACATATCACAACTTGATAACCTTACAGTCCCATTAATGTCATATGATAAAAATGTGTATTTTTGTTATCGTGCAACATGCTCTCACAGTATGAAATTAAAGTCATGTGACAGTAAAGAATACTGTGTCCATATTCACAAGTTGTACTGTAGTTCTTGACTTCCAACTTCAAAGCAGAACAATTCATGATTCTTGTCACCCATTGGCTTCATGTAACAAAGTCTTTTAACTTGTGGTTCCAAGGACATTCAACTTATACAGGTTTTGCTGTAACAACAATTTATTGACCCTAAACTAAATTATTTAGAATATTTTTGTGATGTAGAATTGAAAATCTGTATGTGTTTATATCAGAAAGGCAATATGCCTAGGTTATTAGATGTTGAGCTTAAAAATATGATTAAGTATACAGTAAAAGTTGTAATGTATCCACCTATGTAAGTGGAACACCTCCATAAGTGGAACGCTTCCCCATTAACCTCCCAAGTGGAACAAAATGTGGGGTATGAACGGCATTCCTCGCACACTTGTTTGACTGTATATTAAGGCCTTAAATGTGAACTATGAGTGAACAAGGCAAAAAGTTGGCTAAAGTTACGCAGCATGTTCAGTTGCTTCATTACCAAGCATTTTGAAAAAAGCTTCCTGAAGAATTTTTGAGGTGTTACATATTCTCAAAATTCTAAATCACGAAGCTTTGTGTCAGAATACTTCATATTGAGGCAATTTAATCCCGCTGTATCCATATATATACATACATATATGAAGCATGCCCATAAATGTACATAGTCAACGTAGTAAATCAAAATTGTAGCTTCTTTTATATAACATAAATGTAAATGTATTTATATCAATTCTAAATATTATTTTTATATAATTGTATAATTTTGTTAAGAGTCAAGGTGAATGTTCGCCTAAATGTTGCTAAAACGGTGGATTTATTATGTGTTTGATTATTACTAATTAGGCGATTTGGATGAAATGAACAGTCGGGTATGTTAGATAGGAACTTTGTAATTATATGCTCTAAATTTGGTTTGTTTGGCATCTGCACCAATTTTAATGTTATTAAATATTGTTTACAAAAAATGGTATTTACTTTTTTTGATGAATTTTCACAAAAATCTGCCAAATTAAGTAGCAGCCACAATCCAAAAAACAATGAAAATGCCAAATAAAATAGGGCCAAATAAACCCAATTTACAGTACCACATGTCATGTAAAAAACAATTTTAGAAGTGATTTGTAGTGTGATTTTTTGCTTTTGCCCCATAACTATTACAGGGAAGAAGGAAAAAGTTTGAGGAAGATTGTTTCATCATCCTGAATTTTCCTTTTCTAGATTTTCCTCACAAGTTTTATCATACACTTATAAATGTTTATAAATTGTCACACCTTACCATGCCACAGGATTATAATGCCATTAAATATCATATTATACTGACTTTGTAGAATATTCTTACTTACAGGGTGTTCCAAAATGCAACTTTAATTTAGGAATAACAATTTATTTTCAAGAGTATTCACTGTGTGTAGCAGTGGTATATTATATACCTAAATTAACCAATATATTCTAACAATAACTTCAAGATTTTGAGAAATTATTTTAACTTTCATCCAGGCATACTCTTGTGCCAAATCTTTGAAAAATGCAAAACATTGAGGAAGTTGCATTTTTGAGTTACCCTGTATCTGGAATTTCCAAATTAGATGTTTATTTATTATATATTCACATGTTAACTCATTGTTAATCGCATCGTCATCTGTTTGCATTGTCATCCCTTTATAGTCACTGGGCTTTTTGGATGTTGATCAACCTAAGCTAGTCTCCATAGTTAGGCTGTTTATTATACTACACAAAGAATGAACATATATGTACAGTTGTGTGTAACTTTTAATTGGGGGGGGGGGGGGGCGTAAGATCTTTGGGGACATACTGCTCTAGATCCTGGGTGAAGGGGAGGGGGACATGCCCCCTTTATAAACTACCATGTCTGCGTCTTGCGGATTAAACTTTTTTACCCTCAATTTTTGTTTCATCAGTTAAAATGGGATATTTTTGCTTTAAAGTCTAAAATATTTACCTTTTAATATTCACTTTAGGAATGTTTTATTGGAAAATATAAGGGCCTCCAGAGATTACATTCATTGTCAAGCCATATATATACATAAGTACAATGTATGTGTATACATATTATGAATTATACATTACAAAATAGCCACAGCATGGTTATATATCATGTTGAGGTCTAAACTTACTTGGGGGAAATGTTGGTTTTTGGAAAAGACTAATGATAAATAGACCTGAAGTGTATTGAAATGCTAAAATCGACCACTTTGCGATAATATGTCAAAATCTACTAGGTTTACATTTACACATGTAGTTTATTATCAGATATGGTTTTACTTATGACAGAACTATACAACTTTTGGTGGGAATCATTGTACAATGAAGTCAACATACTCAAGGAGAACCAATGAGATTACATGTAGATTTAGTTGTATTGTTTTAAATGATAAATTGATGCAGTACTTCAACCTTTCAAAATATGAAGTTGTTTTTATCACATTTAGATAATGAAATTGACGTTTTTTGGAGGTCAGGCTAAGCTATATCAATATTTCAAATTCTGGATGAGAATAATAGAACACAAACACATGAAATAAAAACCATGTATTTGAGAATTTCTAGGCTGCCAATGCATTACAATTTAATTTTAGTCTTAAATTCATACAGAGAATTTATTACTTATTTGTCATTGAGGTAGTTCTTTTGTTCAGAATTTTTTGTGGCTTTCAAATTCGAGTCCCATGTTAGTTTTGGGTACACTAGGCTCATTCCATCATACATGGTCTACAATTTTCAGTTTTGCACAAAGAATACAAAAATGTACCTAAATCATTAATTGAGGGGTAAAAATAATCTGCAATGTATGAAAATTAAGAAATTTTAGTGACCTACTTTAAAATTTCTGAATAAAGTAAACTACCTTAAATCATTTATTGCATGTAGATAATGTTATCCTATAAACATGTATAAGGATAAAATATCAAAAGTGTTGCAAATGTATGGTTAAACTGTATTGCTTGAACTGAAAACAAATGCTGTGTTCAGGTATCCATTATACGATATGTTTATGTACAGGGTGTCCCAGAAGTAATGTAAATAGGCTGACTTCTGTGCCACCCTGTAGGTGACCCCCAGTGTGATATGTTTTAATATCTAACTACTGACATAGACCATTGTTTATACTTGTAAATAATGTAATGGTATAATATTAAATATTAAGGGAGTATAAATAACATGTACTGTTTATAGGCAAAATATAATATAAATAAAAATAAATTTTAATACAACAAATATTTTTATTTTGTTGCATTCTCTAACAAACCAACTTTAATGAAAAAGTCAACAGACAGTAAGCCATCACATAACTTGGTTGATAATCAAATGAAAATAATTATCAATTTTAGTTAACCAATTTTCAAAAAATTGAGAACAGTCAATTGGAAAAAACACATTGTAGAAACAGTCATCGTCATTGATCATAATATTTTTATTTGTCAATGGATAAAGATGATATCCCCTAAGGATATAATGCATTTATTCCATACAGTCAGGTCTATGCAGATCAACAAAATTTGTTGGTAGGCAGTGTTCTCTTTTAAATGCAAAATTCTCATTTTTACAATTCTGACCGAATTTGGTCAAAACATGCCATTTTTATGTTTTTTTTCATTTTCAAGGTGCAAGTCTATTTTCAATATCTCAAGTTTATGTAATCCTGCGGGAACCAATGCTCTGTCACTCTCTCTGTGCCCTGATTTAGGGAACTAGAAGGGCTGAAGGAATAGAAAGTTTGAAAAATTGGTATTAACCAGGAAATAACCTGGCAGGGTATTACAGAATTCCCTTAAACTTGAATATTTATCAGTTTTAGTTGTTCACTTTTCATATTACCCTTATGTATCTGATAGTTATACAAATTAAAATATGTCCAGTAAAAGAAAATATTATCTGCCCAACACAAGAAAAGATATTTCCATTTTTGTGATTTTCCAACATGGGGGCTATGGGGAATCTCTCCGACCTAGAAGTCACATTTTCAAAGAAAATTAAATTTTCAAAGTTGATAAACTCTTTTCAAAACCATATTTCTAGATGTAATTTTACATGTAGATTCCAAATATGACATCAATTTGTGACATCAATTTTGAATTTTTAATGACGTAAATCAAGATTATTTCTACTCGCATCTAGCATATTCCATTCTAACAGTTCTGATTTATTCCAAGATACTCCTTGATTTTCTAGGTTTTCTGGAAAAATCAAACAGTGGAGATTTCCTTCTCAATTCTAATGAATTTGGATATTTCTACATCTTGTGTCATAAGTTCTCTTTGCAGAAAATAATTAAGAGTTGGATTGTATGAAAAACAATGGCATGCTTTTCGAACAGATTGGTTTTAACTTTTTACACTCTCCAGTCGTCATCCCTTCTCATTCCTTTAATATTGCAGATGATTTTATCAGGAGGTTGGGTTAAATAATATATTCAAGTTGTTTTTAATAAAATAATGCATTTATTCATCATAGTGCTACACAGTGCATTTCAATTACAAAAATATAAGATCACGGCAACAAATCAATCAATCGACGGCAAATTTCTAATCAAAATATTATCAATTTTCCACAAATAAATATGCATTACATACTAGAACATGGAATGAATATTTTGCAAGAGATAAACAAAATTCAAAGTACAAAATTCATTCTTGTTGTATGGACTGATTGTATATAATGATACAAATGAGTTGATTGCCATGATTTTTTGAACCATCTTAAGAACTAAGAACATTTTTCAACTAAAATGGGACCATTCATTGGGGTCATATATGACATCCTTCTTCAAAGACTACATATATGCTAAATTCATTTATATAAATACTATAAACCCTTGCTGCAAGGATGTCATATGATGTTATGGTGTAAATTACCAGTATAGATATCATAAAATGGATATGAGCAATAGTTCAGGCAAATCATTCGTTTAATCACACCAAAACTGGACCGCTGATTGTACATGTGTCACCATTTAAGGCACTTCTGGAATGTTGGTTTGGTGGTTTTATTTGACTTTACTATACTTATTTAACTTTCACTACAAATAATATACATTTAAAACCTGTGTATATTGAACATTTTTTGCCATGAAAACAGTGTTAGTAGGTGTTCATTACAGAGAGGGTAATTTATACAAAAGTCTGTAGAGTATGTGCGGAGGAAAGAGTGTCCACTAGAGACAGATGTTCACTAAAGAGAGGTGTTCACTAATGCCTGGGTCACATGTGCTCCGATCCATCGGCCGGCACCCGCCCGATTGAGTGTTTTGTTCAATATTTTATTCAATTTTGAACAAACTACTCAATGGGCTGGGCGCAAATGTGACAAGGCATAAGACAGGTTTTACTGTATCTGCAGGAGAAATACATATAGGCAATCTCCAGCAGAAATTCTATGTTTGGCAATTGGCACATGATAAAGAAGGAGGCTGAAAACACTTATCAATTTCAAAATGATTGCCATTATTATCATGATCAAATGACTCAATACACATTCTTTCATTTCTTTAGGGATGCTGACCAAATGTTCAAGCTAAGGTGAGGAAAAACAAAGTTAATTTTTATTTTGGCATAATCCATTCTGTTCTCGTATATAATGGTATTTGAAAATGATGGTTTGCTGTTCACCTTAATTTTACTTGAGATATTCTTTACCCCCTTCTTTACCTCACTCTTACAAAATTATTTCCATTCATCCACAACTGATGAGAACTGGACACCATCCCTTACCCTAGTATCCAAATGTAGTGAGAGTTAATTGAAGTATTTATTTAACACCATCTAACCTTAGCACCCAGGCATGCTTACAAGGAACTTGATTGAAATTCAAATCGGGCCAAATTATACTGATACCACTGTCACCTATTGGGCTCCATTTTAACAATTTAGGATAACCAACCAATGTTACATTCGTAGCAGGTGATGTTATAGGCTCACCCAAGTTAACAATGAGTTGATTTTGAGCGGTTTGGCTTGGATAATCCAGCAATATAGCATAAACAGTAGTAGACTTTTCATCTACCTGGGAAGTATACCATGTATTTTTTGTCATATTATCTTGCTGGGCACGCCATGGTTTTGATTTATAAATGGCTTGTCCATTGATCTTTAACCATTTCCCCATATCGGATAGGCGGTCTTGAAATATGGGCATGATTCTTCCATCGTGTGTCGGGCCTATATTCAGTAAAAGGTTTCCTCCACAGGATACAGTCTCAACTAACTGATGAATCAATGACGTTGAATTCTCAAAGTCTTCAAGCTGTGCATCCCTACGGTAACCCCAAGAGTACTTGTCAATCGTCATACAGTTCTCCCATTTGTGTTTCACTAGATGTCCTGGGACATAATGGTCCTGACATGTATAGTAACCCCCATGATGGCATTCAGTTCCACCCCAGCGATCATTAACCACGACTTTGTCTTTAACGGGACTGTCATTATAAAGCCAAGCGAGGAACTCTGTGCTTTTCCAGTACCAATATGGTCCACTGTCGCCATCTGTCCACACAATATCTGGCTCGTAGTTCATCACAAGTTCTCTCAGCTGAGGTAGCGAGACTTGGCTCGGATATGCTTTGGTGAAAAACAGATGCAATAAATCATCATTGTACAAAGGATTATACCATTCAAAATGGGAAAAATATGTTCCGAAACGCAAGTCGGTAGAGTTGCGGATAGCTTTGGCAAGATCTCCAACTAGATCACGATTTGGTCCTACGTCCCCAGCATTCCACATCCAGGAGTACTTGGTTGGCCAGTTACAGAATCCTTCATGGTGTTTCGTTGTGAGCACAACATATTTGGCACCTGCATCTTCAAATAATTTAGCCCATTCATACGGATCAAACATCTCAGCTTGAAACTGTGGCGCAAAGTCTTGATATTTAAATCCAGGTTTATAGTTTTTCTTCATAAAGTCAATGTACTTTTGCTGCTGGAATCCAATCCAGTTTTTCCAAAACCATTCATTGGCAAAACTTGGCACTGAAAATACACCCCAGTGAATGAATATGCCAAATTTAGCTTCATCATACCAGGTAGGTAAGGGGCGACTATCTATTGACTCCCATGTTGGTTCATAGCGACCATGTACTAGTGGAATCAGAGTTAAAGCCAAGGTAATTAGGAATATTTGATTTGTTTTTATTTTTGTCTCAGCCATTTTGATAAAGTGGTCACGTGATAGTCATGTGATGGCGCAAATTTCCTAATTTTTGTTATATTTTACGCTTTATCGTCTGTCCAACCGTCTTGTAAAAATCATGTCAACCCATCTATATATTCTTCTTATTTTTTTTATTGCTACAGTAATGATATAAATGATATAAAAGTTGAAATACTGTAAAACGGGTAATTTTGACACCGGGAAATTTTAGCGATTTTTCAATTTTAGGGGGTTTTAGCGCGGGAAATTTTAGCGAAATGAAGATTAATCTTTAAAAAATCAAATTAGCGAAATGCATTAGAAATTTTATCATTTATGGCAGAAGAATGAATAACGGACATGACTTTCATGTTCAATTAACACCTTTTATCTTTATATTTACTACTAATACTACTAGTATTTCACTGATGGATGGCTATTTATCCTTCAGATATTGAAAGAAACATACGATTTAAAAATATTTACCTTTTTCAAATTAAAAACCGGAAGTCCAGCACTGAACGAAAAGCTCCTTAAATACTAGTATTCATGTAGTTTCCCGGGAATTTGCAAATTTTAGCGCCAGGTTTATTTTAACCCCGGTTTATTTTAGCGAATTGAATTTTTAGCGAAACTATAGCGATCGCTAACAATCGCTAACAATTACCCCTCGCTAACAATACCCGTTTTACAGTAATCAATTTGGCAATCATAGGCCAAGGAAAAAGTAATACTAAGCAGTATACTCTATATAGAAGAGACAGGTCCACAACTAAGATTGAAAATTTTTCAAATTTTTTTAGTCTTGGCACTAGTTCTCCTTACTGGTATCAAATTGTATTCCCAAATCACTCCAAAATCTTCTTCAAAGTGTTTTTCAAACTTATATCATTGTTTTTTCAAATCTTTATCTAAAAACTGCATATAATACTGCATATAAAACAACAACTATGGAAACCTGCAATTGCCTGGCAAGGGAGGTCAGCAGTGACCAATCAGATCACTTGTTTACTAATGAACTTGCCAGGCAATTGCAGGTTTTCAGAAATTCTCTCTTTTAGACAGCATTTTTCACTCTATATCATCTGACTGAGTTTCAATCTTAGGTAAGAGCTACAAACTATCAATTTTCTATCAACTCACCATGGCTTTTTGAAAATAATACACTAAATATTGTTGAAATCTCCATCTTAACAAGTGGTCTAAGTCAGAGTTGTTCACCTGTCTCTTCTATAGGCCTATACGGCTTACTATTACTTTACCCTTGGCCTATGTTGGCAATGATAATGCGATCGTCGCAGAAAAAGTGCGCAAAAAAAGTTTTTTCAAACCATCTGATTTGAAAAATTAGTAAGATTTTACTGTAAGTGTGAGTTATGGTAGAGGGCCCAGGCTGTAAACTAAAAGGAGAGAAGCTTAGGAGTCGGGTGAGAGGTCAGAAGCTTCAGAAATCCAGTGGAAATGCAGTTGAAAAGGTATAGCTTTTATCAGAGAAAATTATTCTGAAAAATCACAAACAAATCAGATGTCTCCTGATTAGCCTTACTCTTTACCATTTATATGTTATATATAGTATTTTGTCCAGTAAATGCAATATTTCCTAGGTGCATTCATGCACCCTCTGGGTCTCTGAGGATCGTGTTGGCGTTTTCCCATAAATGTTTGAATATAGAACCGATACCATAGACTACCAATGTACCAAGGTATACACTTCAATCTTTAATATGGCCATTATTTCAAAATGTCCTCCATCCATTTCTATGGCAATTATTTCTGTGTGCATTACGAGCATTACCGAGTGAGGTTACATCTGGTAACATGGTAACATTGTATTGAAGGAACCACAAGCTATCCCATTTAGATAATGTTCTAGGCTATTGAGACCATGGTCTTTCAAGAGAAAGCTCATGCCGAAACGTAGAGATTGGAGTTGAAACTACAGTGTAGATAAGAGGAGGGGTGTAGACTATATCCTATAGTTCTGACTAGAAATCACTTGTTTTCACAGTTGTTATTTTATCTTTGGGGTATTGTGCTAAATGCTCAATGGTTGATGCAACAAAGGTGATAGGGTTTCATTTACTAGGCGTTAGTAAATGAAAATTCAAGTCTTAAAAAAGTTCTCAAAAGCAAAAACATCATTTTTTAGGGCACAAAGAAATCAAACAAAGATGGGCCAGACAGCCATTCACCTTTTGATGATCTTATAGGAAAGCATCTAACTGACATACAGACCTTGGGAAAGGAACTGTTCATATATTTTGAAGAGAAGTGTATAAGGTAAGTGATCAAAATTATCTTGATAAAATATTAAAGTTACATTTTATACAGCTTTTGAAACAAGGTTTTAGCATTGTCGAGGACCAACGACAGCATATCTATTTAAGGTCTCATGGAAGTTAACAGGAAATGACAAAACAAAAAATGACAAAGCCATGCTGGATTTTGAAAATTTTTTGAACCAAGATAACAGAGTTCGGTTTTGACCTCCAATCAGTTTAACTAGTTCCACATATCATTTACATGACTGGGAACACAATTGAAATGGTCAGAATGACCATAAACATGATAAAATAACCTTTTCAGCCCTTTGAAAATGTGACTGAAAAATAGCTAAAAGTAGGTGCTCAGGAAAGGTCAATCAACAGAATCTTTTGATTTTTTCAGAACATGTGTCCAATATATTGCTCTAAATGACACAATCTTTGAAATTTAAAAAAATTGTCTGAAACAATAATGGCTGTTGTAAAAAGGAAAATAGATCGATTTTCAATTCAGTTTTTTTTTAATTTTTTCTTTTTCTAAGAATGATATCAAATTTGTTTAAATTGTATCATTTAGAGCAATATATTGGGCACATTTTCTGAAAAAGTCATAAGATTCTGTTCAGTGACCTTTCCTGAGCACAGACTCTTAGCTATTTTTTAGTCACATTTTCAGAGGGCTGAAAAGGTTATTCTATCATGTTTATGGTCATTCTGACCATTTCAATTGTGTTCCCGGTCATGTAAATGATATGTGGAACTAGTTAAACTGACTGGAGGTCCAAACAGAACTCTGTTATCTTGGTTCAAAAAATTTTCAAAATCCAGCATGGCTTTGTCATTTTTTGTTTTGTCATTTCCTGTTAACTTCCATGAGACCTTAACCAGAACTGGTTAATTGAACTTATTGGTTAATTGGGCTCATTGAGTATTTCCATGAAGCTCAATCTTAAACTGCCAAAGTTCATTCATTAATTAATGAAATGTATACCTTTTGGTCTGATTATATCGTTTCATACGGAATATTGCAAAGTAAATTTAGTATCATCGTTATTTTGATAGAATACTTAATAGTAATGTAGAAATTATTTAAAATGTAATTTAGGAACATACCTGTATGTCAATAGACTAATGTCACTGAATGTCACTGACTATCTTGTGACAATGGTTATTATATCTTCCATACCCACTTTAATTCTTTTGTATCCAACATTCAAGATCATATTAACAACATATAAACATATAAATAACACAACAAACAGACAATCCAGTGTTAAACAAGAAAACCTTTTTAAAGTGGCACTGTGTAATATTTTAGCTATTTTTGAACTAAATGAACATTTGATTATTTCATGTGAGCTTTTTCAAAATCACACACATGGTTCTTGTTTACTTGCAGATGTAACAAGTTCTGGCCATACACCAACAATCTCATGTTACAATGAAGTACAAATCTACCATACAACACAATCGATGAACCAACACAATTGATGAACTGACACAATAATTGAACCCAACACAATCAATGAACAAACACAATCTCCTTAACACATCCACCATTACGATAAATTGAAAATGAGAAATTTTTCTCAATGGGACAGAGAAATACTCCATCGGAAAAGCAAAGGCCCAATTTTATTAGATCTGTTACTTTGGACAGGATATTTCAATTTTTTATAATTTGATGAAACTTAAAAACATATACAGTAATCATTAATCAGTGCGCTTGTGACTAAGTGTTTAATCTATATCTCATCAAACATATTAGTTCATTGATGAATTTAACAATGATTGATGATCACACATACTGTCAACCCAGTGTATGCAGTATAAGTGATCAAGAACATCAAGATTGGCTTGATCTTATACTCTGCAAATATGACAACCCTATATCAATTAGTAAACAAGGAGTTGCGCATGTTGATCATACATACTTTGAAACTGACTTATCTAATGAGCCACTCATAATTGATTTGAGGAATGAACAGGGAAATATCCAAACTGATGTAACAGACTTAAATGATGATTTCACAGACTCAAATGATGATTTTACAGACTTAAATGATGATTTTACAAACTCAAATGATGATTATACAGACTCAAATGGGCATTTTGATCATACATATTGTGAAACGGATTTATCTGATGAGCCACTCATAATTGATTTGAGGAAAGAACAGGGAAATACCCAAACTGATGTTACTTACTTAAATGATGATTTCACAGACTCAAATGATGATTTTACAGACTCAAATGATGATTATACAGACTCAAATGGGCATTTTGATCACACATACTGTGAAACTGATTTATCTGTTGATCATACATACTGTACAACTGACTTATTTAATAATGAGCCACTCATAATTGATTTAAGGAATGAACAGGGAAATATCCAAACTGATGTTACAGACTTAAATGATGATTTTCCAGACTCAAATGATGATTTCACAGACTCAAATGATGATTTTACAGACTCAAATGATGATTATACAGACTCAAATGGGCATTTTGATCATACATACTGTGAACCGGATTTATCTAATGAGCCACTCATAATTGATTTGAGGAAAGAACAGGGAAATATCCAAACTGATGTTACAGACTTAAATCATGTTATTGGCTCAAATGATGATTTTACAGACTCAAATGGGCATGTTGATCATACATACTGTACAACTGACCTATCTTATAATGAGCCACTCATAATGGATATCAGGAATGAACAGGGAAATATCAAAACTGATGTTACAGCCTTAAATGATGATGTTACAGACTTAGATAATATTATTGGCTCAAATGATAATGTTACACACTCAAATGGGCACATTGGTCATACATACTTTGCAACAGACCCATCTAATAAGCAACACATTATGGATATCAAGAATGATCAGGGAAATATCAACAATGATGTTACGGACTTAAATGGTGATGATAAAGACTCAAATAATGATGTTATTGACTCAAATGATGATGTCATAGACTCAAATGGGCATGTTGATCATACATACTGTAAAACTGACTCATCTAATGAGCAACTCATAGTGGATATTAAAAGTGAACAGGAAAGTGATTATCAGTCAAACCAAGATGAAGATTTCAATAATTATACTGAAAATGACAAGCCACAACTGAGAAATCAGAAAGAAATTGATGTAAATGTAAAGCCTTATTGTAAAACCTATGGTGTTAATTATGAGAATGCAGGAATTAAAAATGAACATGTGATAGATGGTACATATCTTGAACCCAGTATTTTGAAAAAATCTGAGCCAGTAGATTTTACAGAACATGGGAAAACGTTTGAGAGGAGAATTCCTCATTGTCCTAATGAAACTAATGTGCATTTTAACTCAAACATTAAAATAGAGGACCCTGGTGAATGTTATAATGAAGGGGTAATATATGAACATCATGAACACATGACAATGGACTGGAGTCTGGAGAATGAGACCAATGATATGAGCTTTGATTATGAGACCCATGAAGGACATTTTAAGCAAGAGACCCATGAAAGGAACTCTAAACAAGAGATCCACGAAGGGAATTTTGAGCATTTTATCAATGGAAGGAACTTTGTTAAGGCCCATGAAGGACATTTTAAGCATGAGACCCATGTAGAGAACTTTGAATATGAGACCCAAGAACGAAACTCCATACATGAGACCCATGAAGGGAACCTTGTTGATGCCCACGAAGGTTATGTTAAGCATGATACCCATGAAGAGAACTTTGAATATGAGACCCAAGAAGGGAATTCCATACATGAGACCCATGAAGGGAACCTTGTTGATGCCCACGAAGGTTATGTTAAGCATGAGACCCATGAAGAGAACTTTGAATATGAGACCCAAGAAGGGAATTCCATACTTGAGACCCATGAAGGGAACCTTGTTGATGCCCACGAAGGTTATGTTCAGCATGAGACCCATGAAGAGAACCTTGTTGGGGCTCATGAAGGGCATTTTAAGCAAGAAACCCATGAAAGGAACTTTAAACATGAGACCCACGAAGGGATTTTTGAGTATTATACCAATTTTGAGACCCATGAGGGACATTTAAAGCATGAGACCCATGAAGAGAACTTTGAATATGAGACCCAAGATTGGAACTCTAAACATGAGACCCACGAAAGGAATTTTGAGTATTATACCAATGTTGAGACCCATGAAGGACATTTTAAGCATGAGAACTTTGAAGATGCGGCAAATGAAGAGAACTTAGAATGTGAGAAAAATGAAGAGAACTTTGAACATGAGGCAAATGGAGAGAATTTTGAATGTGAGGCAAATAAAGAGAATTTTGAACTTGAGGCAAATGAAGAGAATTTTGAATGTGAGGCAAATGAAGAGAATTTTGAATGTGAGGCAAATAAAGAGAATTTTGAACTTGAGGCAAATGAAGGGAATTTTGAATGTGAGGCAAATAAAGAGAATTTTGAACTTGAGGCAAATGAAGAGAATTTTGAATGTGAGGCAAATGAAGAGAATTTTGAATGTGAGGCAAATGAAGAGAATTTTGAACATGAGGCAAATGAAGAGAACTTTAAATGTGAGGTTAATGAAGAGAACTATGAACACGAGGCAAATGAAGAGAACTTTAAACATGTGACAAATGAAGAGAACATTGAACATGAGGTAAATGAAGAGAACTTTAAACATGTGACAAATGAAGAGAACGTTGAATGTGAGGCATACGAAGGTAACTTTGAACATGAAACAAATGAAAAGAACTTTGAATGTGATGCAAATGAAAAGAACTTTGAGCATGTAGCAAATGAAAAGAACTTGGAACATGTAGCAAATGAAAAGAACTTGGAACATGAAGCAAATGAAAAGAACTTGGAACATGAGGCAAATGACTCTGGACATCAGACCTGTAAAGGGAATGATGAGGAAAATCTTTCACTTGAAACTATACCATCAGAGTGTATCAAATCTGAACCTGTTCAGAAAACATTCCCTGTGGATATTAACCCCACTGCTGATCTCCATGCACCTAGAAGCTCTCTCATGCCTAAATCAAGTCTTACTGTACAAGTTTATAATCAGAAAGTCTCAAGTAAATCAGAAAAGAAAAGTGACAAAGAATTTCTAGGGTTTTGTAAGCATTGTGACGAGGGATTTACAAATCGTCAAAAATTAAAAACTCATGAAAAGAATCATATTGCTGTGTTGTCTGATGTAAAATATTCTTGTGAAAACTGTGACAAGGTTTTTCCAACTGAATCCAAGTTAAAAACACATAGCAAATCCCACACTATATATTGTTGTATACACTGTGATAAAACATTTCCTGCACTTTGTAATTTGAAGGCACATAGTCTGGCACATACTGGTGCGAAACCATTCAAATGTAAGAAATGTGGAAATTCATACAAAACGAAGGAACATATGAAAAGGCATGAAAATACACATGGTGACATTAAAGCCTTCATGTGTGATATTTGTAATAGAGGCTTTGGACGTCGAGATTCTCTTAAAGTGCATATGAGGACCCATACTGGAGAAAAACCACACAAATGTAAGATGTGCCCCATGGCTTTCACGCGAAGTGATAATCTTAAAAAACATGAAAGAACTCACACTGGAGAAAAAGATGAAAAATATTTTCGTTTCAAATGCCCAGATTGTGAGAGTTCTTTTACACGTAGTGATTCCTTTAAATTCCACAGAAAAAAGCACCTTGGCATAAAAGAATTTCTATGTAAACATTGTGGGAAAAGTTTTTTTAGAGAACATCATATGAGAATTCATGAAAGGATTCATACTGGTGAGAAGCCATTTAAATGTGCACATTGTGGAAAGGCATTCCATCGAGCTGATCATTTGAGAAGTCATGAGAGACTCCACACTGGAGAGAGATTTCACTGTACAGAGTGTGGTGAATTATTCACCGAAAAAGGAGACTTAAAAAGCCATGTAGCTTCCAGACACTCTGAATACCCTTGTAAACAATGTGATCAAATATTTCCCAGTGAATATAGTCTAAAACAGCATAACAAGATTCATTCTAAATATTTCCATTGTGAATTGTGTAAGAGAAAATTTGGTCGTTCAGATGCACTCACAAGACATCAAAAACGGGTCCACAACAATGAAAAACCTTTCAAGTGTGCCAAATGTGATAAAACTTTTCAACGTAAACAGACCTTGCAAAATCATCTCAAGAAATATCATTAAGGCAATTTTAGTTTGAATGAATGTGAGTTTAACTTTTGCTATGTGGAAAGGATCTTTACAAATATTGTGCAAATCACAAACATGGTGCAAAAGTTATGGTAAAGTAAGATTATATTCATGTTATGGTATTTTTGAGTATAATGTGAATGTAGAGTAGTTGAGATTAGTCAGCTTTTATTTTTGTACTGACTAATAATCATATCTAAAGAGTCAATAAAAGATAAACATAACAACTTAAATTGCTTTATGTGGGTATGTACAATTATTGTGTTACCTGTACAATAACACCCAGTGATATTTCTAATATTATGGAGATCCGTGTGATATTTTTCAGAAAATTGTTTATCAGCCTCAATTGCAAGTGATATTGTTTATGTTTATCAGCCATGCATATCCCAATTTGTGTTTTTTATTTTTGTTTGAATTTAGGGTTTTAGCCCTAGACTCAGTATATTGTGTGCTGAATCATTCTTCTGGAGGTGTTGTTTTCAATTCTTTGCATGCCTGCGCAGCAGGAATGCAAATGTTAGGAAACAATGCCTGAGTGGAATGAAGTAGACACAATGCATTTAGTCTTGGACTTAAATTCATTTCAGATATTGCAAAATATTTTCGGCGAAATCACCTAAATGGTATGAAATCAATAAAAGAACATACAGTATTAAACTTTTTGCAAGGGTCAATTTAGCTAGTATTAATTTCAAACTGTAGAGCGGGCTGAAGAGTCAAGATGTCACATAGCTTGACAACCATACAACAAGTGACTTTGAGTTTGTTATTGCTTATATAATGCAATGCAGTTATATGAAACAGTGTGGTTGGTAGCTTTCACCTCCTATTCCATAAGTGGAAATGGAAATGAAATAAAACCTGCAATAGAAATTATTTTAATAGAAAAGACGATTCTCGGTTTGGAGAACAGTCTCCTGGGCTGATAATTTTTTCATGAAAAATATAGAAATATTACCCAAATTAAACTATGAATATTCAAAAGAGGACATTTAAATCTACAAGATGTAAAAATAACAAATTGGTCTGAAGCTGGGATAACGCTCAATAATTAGACCGATTCAATAAAATACAAGTCTCGATTTGGGGAAAGAAGTTCATCAGTGTATTGCGCTAATATTTTTTTGCGAAAAATCTAGAAATATTACCCAAATTAAATTATGACTATTCAAAAGAAGACATTCAAATCTATATTATGTAAAAAAATCAAATTTGTCCGAAGCAGGGATAATGCTCATTTAGATTGATGAACTTCGTTCTCCAAACCAAGAATCGTCCTTTACCAAAATCAGTAGAAGGTGATGATGAAAATACTCTTACTGTCTTACAAAGAAAACATTTTTAACCTGTAGAAGACTTTGTTATAAATATATAACATGGAATACTATGAATTACAGATCTTTTAAAATCATAGACTATTTAAATGAAAATATTACATGAGCCAATTATTGCATCCAGTCTTTTTATCAGATTGTTCATGAAAAAATTGGAAGATAATGGAAATTGATATACAATCTATCTGGTTTTGTTGCAAATGTGAAATGATCATGTGTCCCATGTAATTAAACTAACCCGTACCTCACAAATTAGTGGTTCAATTTTCTGGTTAAGATGGTAACGTCTTATACCAAAATATTTGAAATTGAATTAACTTTGGAGTTAACATTTAAAATTTGATTTATGTGTTTTTAAGCCTAATCCTGAATACATTCTCTGCTCTTTTGACTCATTCAGAATCCATTTCCTGATGGCTGGGTACTTCGTGTTGAATGGACAGAATATTGACGAAGATCACGGGAGGAAGCAACCTCAGACAACAACATTGAGGCTTGAATTGTCGCAAGATGTGGTTGAATTCTTCAAGACTGGAGTAGAGATAAGGTAAGACAATTGGCTGTCAACAAACGATCACTTGAACGAAACTCACGGTATAACATGTACATGTATATTGATCCACTTTAAATTTTACCACCAAGAAGTTTAAGAGCCGTTGCTTGTTGTGATTGACATGTGGTTGTCATCTGTAACAAATTGTCACACTTTTGAACTACATGTATTTGCAATATCTTACCAGTTCATGACACTTTGTTGTGTTAATGCTTGATTGTTCTAGTTGTGACATTAATTTGCATGTCTCTGCCTTGTTACAGAAATGTACATTATTTGATAAGAATTGAACTTTAATCTTTATGGATTTATTTTCAATATTTTTGTTTTGACTCCAGGAATTCAATCGACTGTCAAGAAAAGTTTGAGAGGATGAAACACCTAGATATTTGCTCAATGCATTTTAACCAGAGAGCTGCCATTGAAGCTGTGATGTCACAAGATGGCCGCCAGATCTGTGATGTATTACTAGATCAAGATATTTTGCCAGGAGTTGGAAATATAATCAAGAATGAGGTAAGTGAGATTTTAATATATTCAGAGTAAGAATTTGGCAATTACTGATCAGATAATAAGCATAAATAGATAAAAAATACATGTACATACAGTGAAACCTTTAAAGAGGAACACCTCTAGAAGTGGAACAATTCAGTGGACCACTTTTAGGGGTCCCAAGACCAACTGACTTAATGTGAAATAAACCTCTATAAATGGAACACCTCCCAATGAACAAAGGTACCAAAGGTGTTCCACTTACACAGGTTTTACTACATACATGTACAATATTGATTGAAGTCAACAGTTCTCACAGGGTCCATATATCTGTTTATTCCAGGCACTATTTGACAGACTGAGTGGTATTAACCCTGTGAGTATTGTGAAGGAACTTACCCAGAAGCATGTTTCACACTTAGTGCAGATGACCAGAGACTTCTCTATGCTCTTTTATCAGGTAAAACCAAGTTTAAACTCTTGAGCTGAACTAAATTCTAGTGAGGCTAGATTGTAAATATAAATATTTATGGTAAAGCGCCAAAGGGAAAAGAACAAAATTATTACAGAACACAGCAAGAAGAAGAAAATATATAAGAGAACACCAGTCACATATGTTCAGCAATTCAACAAGAATAGTGTCTAGCAGTCAGGGAGTTAAAACATGGAGTGTAAAGAACAATTGTAAATTTCTTATCCCAGATCAAATCTATATAATATAGATAGTATAGTATAGTACCAGATAGTATTCATTAACTTTCATTAACTAATTCCACAGATAACATGGATGTTTTTTTAATCATTGATATTTTTGAGAAAAGAAGGTCAAAGGGTCAAAAATCTTGATTTTTTATGATTATGAATTATAAATATATAAGTTTGGTTATTTTGTATGAAAGTTATAGCTATCAACCTAATAAGACTGCATTTATTATTTTAGTGTAGGAAGACAGGCAAGCCTCTACAGGCTCACATGAAGGTGTATCGTAAAGGTACCTGTCAACAATGTAAGGGTAAAGTCATAACAACAAAGACAGGAGAAAACCCTAGAATGACCTGCTATTGTCCCCACTGTCAGGATAGTCAACTCAAGGAAGAAAGGTATTGAATCAGAAGTAAAATGGTAAAATAAAACACCGGGGTTTTAAATCTTGATTTTGTCTTTGATTCTTAAAGTGTTTTGCTTTCTGATTTCTATTTACTAAATATTTTTAATTAATTTATTTGTAAAAATAACCTGTCAACTGCACTATCAACCGACTGGGATACAAACCTTTTACCCCTTAATATCAAATTTTGCCAAAGTACTACCTATTAAATAACATGGTAAGTTCAAAACAGAATTAAGTACTCGCACCTTTTCACTTTCAGGAGGCAATGTAGTTTCTTTTTGCACAAAAGTCAAATGGTCTTTTTAAACTTCTACAATTTATAAAAGGTTCATGATGAAATCATTTTGTGTATAGGATATCTCAGATTTTAAACTGTTGTATTTTACTCCATTGCAGGAAGCTTCCAAGTAAGAATAGTTTGATTGGTTGGGTTACCACAGCAGCCACTTCAGGAAAATCACAACTTAACAACCAATCATGGACTTGTCAGATCTGCACTCTCATTAATGAACCACAGAGAACTACTTGCAATGCCTGTTTAACACCAAAAGTAGTCCCAGCAGCCAAGTCACAACCACCTGACATAGACCTGCCAACAATGAATACTCATATAGGTGGAGCCACTAAAAAAGCAGAGCCAGCTTCTGGACTGAAAAGGAAGATAAATTCGGAAAATACTAATACTGAAACAAAACGATTAAAATCAGAAACAATCTCAAAACATTCCGTAACTATGTCAGATGGGAGTAACATGAGACCTACCAGAAGTGTAAATGAACCTAATTGCAGTAACAATAGACCTTCAAGAAGTGCTAATCTACCTCATGGAAGTAATAGTCAGCCTATTGGGAGTAACATTAGACCTACCAGAAGTGTAAATGTACATAATGGCAGTAACGATAGACCTTCAAGAAGTGCTAATCTACCTCATGGAAGTAACAGTCAGCCTATTGGGAGTACCAATAGACCTACTGGGTTTGCCAAGTTTCAGTTACCCCTGTGTAAAGGCCACAAAAAACCTTGTTACATGCGGGAAGTAAGAAAAGAGGGTGATACAAAGAAACGGGTCTTCTTCTCATGCTCTATGGGGAGAAATAAAAGTTGCAATTATTTCCAGGTAAGAACATTTTTTCTTTGCATCGAACAGAGCTTTCATACTTCAATTCAGGCCTGACTGCATATTAATCATCCTCCAAACACAGGCCTATAGAACTTGTACCTCCTTCTTCCAAGGAGGAAGGAAGGAACATAATGGATGATGTCTGGAGTCCTGCGTTTGGAGGATGCATGTTTATAAAGAAAAGATGTCTTTATTTTTGTAACTTTCCTCCTCATAGGTTGTGTAATACTCATATAATGTATAAGAGGGTCTTAAAATACAGTTGGGAATAACCATGGTTACATTTCATATATTCCATTGGACATAACCATGGTTACATGCTTTATGTATTCCAGTGGGCTGATGAGAAATTCCCATTATGTGAAGGTCACAACAAACGCTGTGTTATAAGAACAGTCTTGAAGGAAGGCACAAACAATGGACGCAAATTCTTCGCATGTCAGGAAAATAAGAAAAAGTCTTGTAGTTACTTCAAGTGGGCTGATGAGTATAATGATATAACAATCAGCTGATGTCTTTAAGGTAAGTGATTGAAATGTCGCTGTAACAAAAGGCAAGGAGTGAAGTTTAATCACGCGACTATACCTAACACCTAATAAGATACTCTGTTTGCCTAATTGCATTGTTTAATATATTTTTGAAAGTACCTTATTAACATCTAACGTCATCTGATAAACCATTAATAAGGAACAGACAAATAAAAACAAATACAAAATCATTACTAATAAGCCAAATGGGTTGCCCATGAACACCAAATGCGGTATAGTAGAGTGTTAATAGTTAAACACTAACAGTCCCCGATAGAAGCCAGAAAAACCATTGCATTAAGATTGCAACTGAGCTACCTATAAATAACCTTAAATCTGAGCAGTCTTGAGGTGTGAGGGTTTGTAGCACTGGACTAAGAGCATTAAAGATTTGTCATACCTCCATTTTTTGTATACGATCGGGCCTTTTGCCAAGGGGGGTTCGATGGGCCATTTTTGGACCAAAATTGTCAAAAGTGAACCTCCCCTGGAGTTTTTTAAGTGAACCCCCCTTGGCAAAAGTTGGTTATGGGTCTGATGCTTTCAGGGAAAATTGTATTTTTAAGATACACGGATTGTGTTGTTTGAAACTGTGAATATCATCTTATCATATCTTCATATGGCCATCTATGTCTAAATTGGTGATCTCAAAATAAATGTTACACATAGTAAAGCCCCTCGCTGATATTAATCAGGGGGTCATTAACAGAAACTTCATTAAGTTACGAATTGTAAATCAACTGTTGTTACCATGGATATAATGACGTCACAGTTAGAGAACAATGGAATTTACAAATTCTTAACTTTATGAAGTTTCTGTTAATGCCCCCCAGATATTTTATAATTTTGTAGAACAGAGGACTCATCTCATGATCTTATACATCACTGATATATTGTTTCAATGATTTCAGGGTTGATTAAAGAAGGAATGTATTTAAGAACTGCTCACATTCCTTCTGAATGATCACTGAACATGAAGAACTGATCGGTGGCTCCCATCTATTGGAACTATGCTATGTGATTTGACAATACAGCATGGATCAGTAACGTCTCCTACACTTTTTTCTGGAAGTATCAAGAGAGATGAAGTGAGTCTGAGTTGTATCTAGGCATCAGAGTACAACGTAAGAGACATCTATATATAGGAGTTGAGACTGTAAAATTCCAAGGCTGTCTGGACTCTCGATTCTTGGAAGGTTCTTAACACTAAATGTCATTATTGAAGTGGTTATACTGTGGAGTTAAAAAAATGGTTCTGATCAAAATGTTAAACAAGGCATAAATACGCAAAATGTCACTACCTGCCATTTGTTACAGAAATCAAATGCCGAAAAATATAACATTCCCTCAATGGCTGGATTGCTGATCAAGGAGTTGGTTCGATTCGTGGATTTACTGACACAGGAAATGTGGAAAGATTTACAGACACGGGAAATGTGGGACTGACTGGGATCTGGAAAACAATTATTTACATTGAAACTCTTAATACCCATCTAGTGCATCACTACATTCACCTTTCTTTTAAGCATTATTCTGTATCCCTTCAAAGCTGTTTGGTGGGATGAAAATGAAGTTTCACAAAATATAAGACTTCCACTGGTAGTACAGTAGTAGGGGGCGGGGGGGGGGGGTATTGGGTATCTGAAGTTGGCATGTAATCTTCAGGCCTTAACAATTTTCCTATATAATAGAACATATTTTTCACAGCTCTAGTCATGCACATATTTTTATATCTTTTTTTTTCATGTAATCGATTTATTTCAAATAATAACATAGATATACACAGTCATATTTTTATATCTCATCCTTTATTTTACAATCACTTCAGGTAAGATTTGTTAGAGAATGATTGTAAATGTGAACACGAATAGCAAAATTCAAGCCTAGCAAGATTATGTAGTTATTGTATATTACCTATAATAAATTAGATATGGGTATATTATAACTAAATATCCACTCTCTTCCATAAGTTTTGTAACCTAAACTCCCCCATTAAATTACATGGACATGTTAAAACCTGCATGTTGATGTTTCTATTTTTTGCATAATCTGATGAGAAAACTGCTATTACACACCTATACTAACACCAACACTAAATGATTCACTCCATGCATTTTTTCTAGGCATGTTTTAAGGCTGGATAGTGGATATGTAAAAAACATAACTGACTTCATTTTTCACGAATAAATGATGGCCATTTTGAATTTAGTGGCAATATTGAAAATTTCTTCTTGAGCAGAGGTCCTACTCAATAAGGCATAATCCTATAAAACTTGAATCAAATCTGTCAACCGGTATTTGAGTTATCGCCTGGACACACAGATGGACGGTCGAATGGACAGACGTCTTTCCTATATCCCCCTGTTCAGTGGGATATAGAGGTTATTTAATGGGAGGTTTTTGATACGGGGTATATCCGAGGGAAATACAATATATCTATCTGAGGGACCGTAGGGACCGAGGTTTGATATATTGTATTTACCAAGGGATATACTCTGTATCAAAAATCGAGCATTCAATAACTGATTTTTATCGTATGATATTTAAAATGAAGCCCTCTGATTGGTCAGTTATTGTCCTGTACCAATCTGTATTGCTACTGACGTTGTCCCCATTGATCATCTCCATCGCAATACATAAAATATTGGTACGGAGGGGACATTCTCAGTAGTAATACAGAGGATCACACGATAAAAACGTTACTGAATGATTTGAAGTGCAATACAGGATATTCTGTATTGGCACTCGACTTAGTCTTATTCCAATACAGAATTTCTCGAGCAGAATCCTATACTAAGTAGATTATGAGAATTAAATATGAATTGAATGTTAGGGAACCCTATTGTAATATATTACAAACGATAATTACAATCAAGACATGAATATTTTATCTCAATTTAAAGTCCTCAACAATTTTGTTTTTTAAAACTCAACAGCTTTTAACACTTAACAATGTATGAAATTAATATTTATCAAATAGAGCCAAAGTATATCCCGGGAATTCAAAAAAGCATTGAAAGAAATTCCCAGGGATTGTTGATGAGCGGAAGATATATATATCTCCCACTCATCTCAGCGGGAGATATATATATCACCCGCTCACCTCAGATATCGATTATATTCCCGCATGTTATTTATCACTTCTAAGTATGGGATAAAAGAATTTATTCTGATTAATGCTTCATTTACTAACATGTGCGAATACAATAGCTATAGAGAATGTTATTTTTGTTCAGACTGATCAGTATCAAAGTAACAAATGACGAAATTAATCGAAAAGATAAAATCGTGCATAAATGTAAGGTATATAAATATTCATTACCATTAAGGAATATTGTTGATAAAATTGAAAAGAGGAAATTGTGAATATTTTATGGCATATGAATATTTTTAGCATTACTATTCAAAGCAATAATTCTACTGCTACTTTTATGCCAGTCAAAATCACATACTATTTCTGGCTGAGGAGGGGTGGTCCCTGTTTCATATTGTTTAAATTGAATTAATTTGGCAACACTTTTGATATGTTGTTTTTATGTCCCCACCACATAGTGTGGGGCCATATTGTCGGCCTAGGCGCGTCCGTCTGTTTGTTTGTCTGTCTGTCTGTCTGTCCGTCCGTATGTCCGGCAGTTTTCTCCAAAAAACGGCTTCACAGTTGCTTTTAAAACTTTAATATCTTGTTCAGCTTACTTCATTCTACATCTGATTAGGTTTTGGACCTGTTAGCTCAGTCCTGTCAGCCATTTTGAATGTCTTAAGAAAAGTTAGCGCGCGATAATACTTTGTATCAGATTGAACTGTTTGGTAGATCAATTTCAAATTTTCAGGGATGATTCTTAGTATGAAAATCTAGATTTAATTAGCTTTTGGCATTCAGGGTAAATGTCAAGGCAGCCATTTTGGATTTTCCGTCTTAAAATCTTGTCTGTAAAGTCTTGTCTGCGCATTTCCAGGTGAACCGTTTGGTAGATCAATTTCAAATTTCCAGGGATGATTCTTAGTATGAAAATCTAGATCTGATTAGTTTTTTGGCATTCTGGATAAATGTCAAGACAGCCATTTTGAATTTTCCGTCTTAAAATCTTGTCTGTAAAGTCTTGTCTACGCATTTCCAGGTAAACCGTTTGGTAGATCAATTTCAAATTTTCAGGGATGATTCTTATTATGAAAATCTAGATCTGATTAGTTTTTCTGGCATTCTGGATAAATGTCAAGACAGCCATTTTGGATTTTCTGTCTTAAAATCTTGTCTGTAAAGTCTTGTCTACGCATTTTCAGGTAAACCGTTTGGTAGATCAATTTCAAATTTTCAGGGATGATTCTTAGTATGAAAATCTAGATCTGATTAGTTTTTTGGCATTCTGGATAAATGTCAAAACCGCCATTTTGGATTTTCCATCTTAAAATCTTGCCTGTTATGTCTTGTCTACGCGTTTTTAGGTGAACCGTTTGGTAGATCAATTTCAAATTTTCAGGGATGATTTTTAGTATGAAAATCTAAATTTGGTTAGTTTTTTGGCATTCTGGGTAAATGTCAAGGCAGCCATTTTGGATTTTCCGTCCTAAAATCTTGTCTGTAAAGTCTTGTCTACGCGTTTTCAGGTGAACCGTTTTGTAGATCAATTTCAAATTTTCAAGGATGATTCTTAGTATTAAAATCTTGAACTGATTAGTTTTTTGACATTCTGGGTAAATGTCAAGGCAGCCATTTTGGATTTTCCATTCTAAAATCTTGTCTGTAAAGTTTTGTTTACATGATTTCTGGTTAACTGTTTGATAGATGAATTTCAAATTTTCATGGGTGGTTCTTAGTATGAAAATCTAGAACTAACTAATTTTTGGGCATTCTGGGTAAATTTTAAGGCGGCCATTTTGGATTTTCCGTCCTCAAATTGTGTTGGTAAAGTCTTTTCTACTTATTTTCAGGATAACCATTCGATGGGATCACCCATTCCCTTATAAAAAATTCAACCTTGAAAGTCCGAATTTAAACCGTTTCCATCAATCATTGAATATTGATTGTTTCAACAACTAAGATCAAAGGAAAAACCATTGTACAATGATAAGCAATCATTGTGCAACCATTGCGTTCAACCAAGCGAAGTCAACTATTTTTCAACGACTGCGCAACCGTTTCTATACAATCATTGTAATCTGCAACCATTGTAAACTGCAACCATTTCACATTGAAATGTTAATGGTTGCAATATGTTTTGTTCAATGATTGTATAGTTCAACCCCTGCAACCATACTGAATTAGTATTGTTACAAAAAATTATCATTTTACCTGAATTAAAATTTTCTTTAAGTAATGATTTGAATCTACCTCTATTCAACAACAGTATATTAGGATATTTTCCTGCAGATGTACATGCATGTTTATTATAGTAAATTACTTTTAGTTTAGTTCTCTGTCATTTACATTATTTACACAATTAAAAGTACCATACCTAGTGTTCATCAAACTACTACAAGTGTTCATAAAAGTGACACTCATGGCAATGCTCATCATACTATTACCAGTATTCATTAAACTATTGCCGGTATTCATTAAACCATTGTAAGTATTCATTAAACTATTGACAGTATTCATTAAGCTATTGACAGTATTCATTTAGCTATAATGGCAGTATTCAGTTAACTATTGGCAAAATTCAACACAATATTGGCATGATCATCAGCTAAATGTGTCCTTATCTCAGATTTAATTACTATGTTCTTTCTTGGCAAATATTTTTTATAACAATGCTCTGCACACTACATATTAATATTCTCATGGGTTTAGGCAAATCAAAATGCTTGAACAGCCAATTAAAACGGTTGAACAGCTAATTAAAACGGTTGAAAAGCTAATTAAAACGGTTGAACGGCTAATTAAAATGCTTGACCAGAAATAGGGTTCATAGTCCTAGTTTCTGTTATATTTTTTTCAGCTTGTGTTATACTAAATATTTATTTATATTCTCTATTTCATGCAGAGGGGAGGGGGCTTAAAAATTTAAAAAGTGTTTTCAGATTTTTGAGGGTTTATTTCTTTATTCAATTACATGTTCTTAAATAAGTGCTTAGAAATCTCAAATAGCAAGTATATAAAACTGCTCTTTCAGAATTTTTGTATTTCATTTTTATTTCGTTAAGTTTACCATGGGCATTGAGAGCGGATTGAGAGTCTCTCTGTAATAAGGTTTGTTTTGCCTTGCCAAATTATTTTTGTTTTGTTTATGGATTAATGGATTAATAAAGTTTCTTTAGACACATCCTTCAAAGCAGACTCTAATCAAACTAGAGAGACTGAGTCTTACTGTAATCAGAGTTCTTTTAAGTTATGCTTATCAACTTAATTATTTAAATCACATCCTGCAATGTCTGATTGCATTTTCAAATCAAAAATATCAAATCAATAAACAGATTATTTTCTGATTGAAGGATTTCTTCCTTCCAGACACATCTTCCTTCCTTTATAATTGTGATGATTACAAGTTGAAGTATAAGTGTCTGAATTTGTAAAATTCAAGACTTGACCCAATAAAAATTATTTCAAATGTTTTTGCAATAACTTAAAAAGTAGTGGAGGGATTTTTTAAAAATGATAGGCATGGCAGCGAGGGGATTTGCTTTGCCTTAGCATTGCTGTTATCTAGATAATATACATGTGAGTGAGACGATCACTATCCTTCAAGGTTAGATGGAAAGTGGTTCAATATATTTTCATTCACAAGACAAGTTTACTTAACTATTTCAATACTTTAAATATCTTTTTGATCAAACCATTTAAATTCTGACATGAATGCATTAATACATACATTTGAAATATATATTTTAAAGAGCAATATAATTATTTTATGTTGTATTGAGATAATATTGCCATAGTTTTAAAGGGTTGCATTTGATTGAAACGGTTGCAAGAAATGCAATCAAAATTGTCAAGCGTTACAATGGTTACATATGATTGAAACTTTTTCAATGAGTTTACAACCAAAATTGTAATGGTTGCATCGTAACCGTTGGCATGGTTGCATAAATGATCGGATCAATGATTGTGCAATGATTGTGCGACGGTTTAAATTCGGACTTTCAAGGTTGAATTTTTTATAAGGGTTGGTGGGGTTATTTTGTACACATTTGTGTTCTTGTAATTTTCTTGGTATTAGTGATGAATTTGGTGCAATTTTAAGAGATCTCTTAAACATGTTATAGGATGAAGGTTCACATATAAGTTTATTGATGGTATTCAAATTGGCAATCTTGTACAGAAGGTCCATGTGCAGTATGGCAAGTGATTTTAGAAGGTCATATCTTTCATCATGGGTACTTTCTGGCCATCAATACAGAGTTTTTTTTAAAACAATATGTTTTATTTCAAGTAAAGTCCCCATGATAGTAAAATATCGATCTAACTCTCTGAAAAATTATGGATTAGGACCCCACGTTGGCACTTTTTAGCTCACATGGTGAGACATTGCAATCACTCACTTGTTCGTCTGTCTGTCTGTCCGTCCGTCCGTCCATCGACAATTGGCCAGTTTTAAAACCTCTGTCAATAGGATTCCTGTTTTAAGTTATTTCTGTTCAACATCAATACAGAAACCTCCCCTATGACTCCTGGTTCAAAGGCTCGCCTATTTTCAAAATGGCCAGCATTTTTGCTCGCGAAATCAACTTTTGGACCATTTGCCTTAAAACCTCTGTTGATAGGATTCCCGTTTTAAGTTATTTTTGTTCAACATCAATACAGAAAACTCCTCTATGACTCCTGGTTCAAAAGCTTGCCTATATTCAAAATGGTCGCCATTTTTGTCTTGCAGAATTCACTTTTGGCCCTTTTCCTAGCTTTACAAATGATAATTTCAGGTGTCCTGCATTGTAAAAGCCCATGTCACTGTAAAGAGTAGTTGTAAGAAATGATTTTGTTACAAAAAATCAGCAAAAAGATATATCTGTTTTTTTTCACCCATTTTAGTAAACATTGATTTGTCCATCTGTCTCGTGAAATCCACTTTTGAACCATTTGCCTTAAAACCTCTGTTGATAGGATTCCCTTTTTAAGTTATTTTTGTTCAACATCAATACAGAAAACTCCCGCCCTATGACTTCTGGTTCAAAAGCTTAACATCAATGTAGAAAACTCCTCTATGACTCCTGGTTCAAAAGCTCACCTACATTCAAAATGGTCGCCATTTTTGTCTCGCAGAATTCACGTTTGGCCCATTTCCTAGCTTTACAAATAATTTTAGGTGTCCTGCATTGTAAAAATCCAATTTCTTTTAGACCCCTTGTTGAATAATATTTTCATGCAATAAAAAACAGAAAAAGAAGATCCTCTTTTGAGTAAATTGGTTCAACATTTTGAAAAAAATGTTGACATTGGGTCCCTATTCATAATTTTTTGAATTGTTCAATTGAAATTTTTATCATCATGATTACTTCACTTGAAAGATAACATATTGTTTTAATAAAAAAACACTGTATTTATCAGTTAATGTCCAGAAAGAAGTCATGGTTATAGAGATATGACTGTCTAAAATCACTTGCCATACTGCACACTGACCTTTGGGGATTGTTAAATCAAAACAATTAAACCCGGTATATGGTTTAAAGTACATATAAGCCATAAATATAATTTTAATGAATAAAAACATAATAAAAATCATGTTTAACTTAGAGGTTGAATCTGTCATATGGTAGTTAAACACATTATACAGTATTTATTAATATTTGCAATCGAAAATCAAAGGTGAAAACATATTTTTGGTAACATGCCTAAATATTTGTGTCTTGTAAATTGTTTCTTAATTAAAAATGGTGTACAGTTGTACTAGGATAAATATCTGTAAAAAAACACATGGCAATATGGTAAAAATCTCATGCAGTTTTTATCATTGGACATTCCAGCATCCTTTGAACGCAGGGTTCCAGAAGAAGAAGAAGGAAGGAACTTTGTGTATGATTCTGGAACCCTGCGTTCGGAAGAAGAAGGAAGGAACTTTGTGTATGATTCTGGAACCCTGCGTTCGGAAGAAGAAGGAAGGAACTTTGTGTATGATTCTGGAACCCTGCGTTCGGAAGAAGAAGGAAGGAACTTTGTGTATGATTCTGGAACCCTGCGTTCGGAAGAAGAAGGAAGGAACTTTGTGTATGATTCTGGAACCCTGCGTTCGGAAGAAGAAGGAAGGAACTTTGTGTATGATTCTGGAACCCTGCGTTCGGAAGAAGAAGGAAGGAACTTTGCGTATGATTCTGGAACCCTGCGTTCGGAGGATGGTATTCCAATAAAATTTCTTTTGTTGTTTATGAAGTGGAAAAATATATTCACGATGACTACGATAATAATTGAGAATCAATCTAACACTCATCCTAATGCACCTTACACACACGATAAGGCATAATTATAATACTGTAACAGTTTGGCCTATTTTTGTGGATATACGTGGTAGCGTGGCTAATAATAGGCCCACTGTTTAGTAAACGGTGTTTACTTGGTGAGTTACACGGCACACGTTAAATGTGCGATTGTCCCTAAAGAATTAAACAGACATTCAATTAAATATAAAATATAAAACAGTATATTGTGGCGTTTATAAGCCCAAATAAAGATGTACATTAAATTTCAAGTCTAATTGTAAGAGTGTTACGATTTTAATATCTCTCTCAAAACTCACAACTCAAAAGTCCATATAAGCTAATATTTATCACTAATAACACAATATCCAGAGTCCATATAAACTAAAGTTGATGATCACTATATACCACTGTTGTATCTCCAAAATTAAAAGTTCATATATGTTGTAATACTTGTACGTCTTGTATTGTACTTGTAACTTGAACCTGAAATAGTAATCGGACACAAAACCATCTAAGTCCAAATATCTGCTGTGTAAACTCCTAAGTCCTGGATCCTTTTCAAGGTGTTGTAGTATAATTAATCATTAAGTCAACTATCGGCTCGGTAAATGTCTATCTCCTGAATCCTAAGTCAAACTATTGCTCCGTAAACGGCTATCTCCTGGATCCTCCTCACTGTGTTGTAGTATAATTTCTATCAGTCGAGTAACTGGCAATCTCCTGGATCCTCTTGTGCTGTAGTATAATTCAACTTTGATTATGTGAAATAATCTAAGTCAAACTATCGGCTCTGTAAATGGCAATCTCCTGGATCCTCCTCTCTGTGTTGTAGTATAATTCAACTTTGATTATGTGAAATAATCTAAGTTAAACTATCAAGTCTGTAAACGACTATCTCCTGGATCTTCCTCAATGTGTTGTAGTATAGTTCAACTTTGATTATGTGAAATAATCTAAGTCAAACTATTGGCTCTGTAATCCTGTATCCTCCTCTCTAAGTTGTAGTATAATTCAACTTTGATTATGTGAAATAATCTAAGTCAAACTATCAGTTTTGTACACGGCTATCACCTGGATCCTCCTCTCTGTGTTGTAGTATAATTCAACTTTGATTATGTGAAATAATCTAAGTTAAACTATTAGCTCTGTAAATGGTTATCTCCTGGATCCTCCTCTCTGTAGATGTATATTCTAACTTCAATGACACAAAATCATCAAAGTCAAAATATCTCGCTGGATAATCTGCTAAGTCCTATAACGTCTTTCTCTATAGATGTATCTTCCTAACTTTAATGATGCGAAATCACCAAAGTCAAAATATCTCGCTTGATAATCTGCTAAGTCCTGGAACGTCCTCTCTGTAGATGTATATTCTAACTTCAATGACCAAAAATCATCAAAGTCAAAATATCTCGTTGAATAAACTGCTAAGTCCTGGAACCTCTTCAATGTAGATGTATATTCTAACTTCAATGACACAAAATCATCAAAGTCAAAATATCTCGTTGAATAAACTGTTAAGTCCCAGAACCACTTCTCTGTAGATGTATAAGTCAAACTATCACAATCTTCAAACTACCAAGTCCAAGGACGTCTAATACACAGCATCAACTGCTAAGTCCATGTAGCCTGCTTCCTTCACAATTAAATAAGGCTACCTACAAATATAGCATGCACACAACGACATATGCAAAAATATAACATGTGAAAATATTTTCCCTTTTAAATTGACTAAGTTAATTTAATGTTAAGTGATACTGATATTGAAATATTCTAAGTTCAATATTTCTCTTTCCAAAAACAACAGTCCAAAATAATATTTCACCAAATATTGACTAAGTTAATTTCATACTAAGTTATACTGATGTTAAAATATTCTAAGTTAAATATTTCTATCTCCAAAAATAACAAAGTCCAAAATAATGTTTCACCAAATACTGACTAAGTCCAATAATGTTGTAAATCGTCTAAGTTCCTTGATGATCAAAATAGCTTGTTTCTCAAACACAAGTTATGTCAGCATTTCCTCTCAGTCTATGAAGGCTGGACAATACGTCTAATAGCTTTGCGCTGGGGATAGCTTCACCCTGTTGAAGTTTTGTCCAGTCTTGTAGATCTCCCTTACTTCCAGTGCGATAAATAAACTAAGTCTCAAACACTTAGTTGCATCAAAGTTTTCCCAAAATTCCAATCTCCAAAACAAACTAAGTTTCCCACACTTAGTTTCTTCAATCTGCCCTTGTATACTGCAAACGTATAGCTTGGCTCATCAGATGTATTCTACTAAGGTACAGCTTCTATCTTCATGTTGTGTATACTGCAAACGTATAGCCTCAACACCACAAAATCGACTAAGTTCTATAAAACTTAGAAGATTTTAGCTGTTTCCCGAAATTCCGCTCTGGAGGTCCTTCCTCGACAACATCTGGCATCGCACTGACGAGCCTTCAACAGCGAGATAGTTATATAGGCCCGATGACGTCATCGATCTGTGAATTGTTACTTACGCCATATTTCGCTTCAATATTGATCATGCAGCAAGATTATAATATTGACTCAAGAAATACAACAGTAATTAACCACTATCTAGTCTAATTTTCCTTCGATTCAATCGAATCAAAAGCAGGAAGTAAAATAATAAAGTTGTCATGTTAGACTACCGATCAACTACAAATTAGACTGCCAGATAAGACTGCCCGATCAACATAAACAAAATCGTGATCAAATAAATAAAACATGTGAACTATTTTACCTCTGTAAGTACAACCTAAGTGCTGCAAATGATACTACATTTATAAATCTTAATAATCTCAATGGGAAATTACTTTCCAAGTGTAATAATTGCCTTATATACAAAAACACAGCACTTAATTAAAAATCAAAAATTTTACATTTTAAATTCCGTTACAATACACTTAGTAAATGCATTTATGCATTTATTTAATTGTAATTATTACATTATAAAGCTGATGTATGGCAAATGTGAAAGGTAGAAGCTGAGAACAACTCACTTGAAAACATAACAGCAGAAAGGTAAGTTTAAACTACAGCATATCAGATTTTCTCATGAGGCCATCTTGTATAGCCAATGGAGTAACTTTAAAAAACCTTCATTTTGAGGGAAATTAGCATTGAACTATCAACAAGTTTGTTCAACGGGGATAATTTCTCAAACATCTGGAACACTTTTTGTATGAATTGTTTTACCATCAAATAAAGCAAATTATATTTATATCCAAGATTTTTTATAAAATATTAATGAGGGGAAATGGACTTTTATAACAAATGAATAAAGCTTTTAACTATCTGAAATTCCTCTTCATTTCTTACAGTCAATGGGTCGTTTTATGTCCTCCTTCAAATACCAAGGAGGATTGGCTCCCAGAGTGCAACATCGATATTCTGTTCCATATATGGGCATGTCGTGCTACAAAATTTGAATTCCAACCACCGCCATTTTGTTCACTTCAACATTTGAATCGGGGAATTTTGGTCTTATTTCCTAAAGAAAAATTCCAAAACTCACAGGAAATGATCGAGATATTGGTTCGAATCTTTTGAACTGTTTATTTTGAATTTATAATCGGTTATAATTTCAGAAAATAACGACATTTCGGCGTTTTCATTGTTGGAAAATATCAACTTCGATTCTGGGAGCCAATCCTCCTTGTTCAAATACGTATGATTCAAAACTGTTGATTCAAAACTGTCCTCATTATGTAATACTCCCTCATTTCCGTCTTACTCTTGCAATTATTCTAAAAGTTTGTACTATTGTCTCAAGATATGAAGTTTCAATTTGAAATATTTAGAATCTACATGATGCATTCTGGTAATCTGGTTCTCGTGATACTTGTCATCACGGCAGTGGAGTCAATGGCTAGGCAACGTTCATTAAAGCAACCCCAAGCATTTGAACAAACTTCCCATACGCAAGTATACTTGGTTTGGTGCAAAACAAAAAGACGTAACTAAAATCTAACACTGTTTTAGTTGGCCCTGCTTAAACTGTGGCATGTTCTTATTTAAAGGTCTTACATTATCAGAGTTTCATGATTATAAGCTATACTTTACATTTTACCACATTTTATAAGTTATTTTCTATAGGCTACCTTATTACTTATAATCAGTAAAGCCTGTGTGAATAGAACTTACCGTATCACAAAATAATGTTCCACTTGGTTGGTATTACATTAAATTCAAGGTAAATAGGTCTTTGAAAAGTGTATTTCAGAGGTATTCCATAATAAAGATTTTACTGTATTTAATAAAAATAATATGGTAACCTAACCCTAACTTCACCATTTACATAGGAGAGATATTTATAAAGCTGATCCAAAGTGTGGACTAGGATGTCCTAATGGTAGAACATGCTGCAAAGGCCTGTGAGGATACTACTCGTGTATGACTAAATGTTGGAGCTACCGCCGCCCCTAGTACAACATGAGAATAAATGAACAAAGGGCAACATTCAAGAACTAACAATGTCAGTTTCAAATGTTTGGCCTAATAAATGGTAATAAATATTTATAAGCAATAGATGATCTCTCTTTAATTATTCTTGTTATCATTTTTCACGTTTCATGAGTTACATGTTTTTGATGAATTTAAATTAAAGGAAGGATAATTCAGAAGGAGAATGAAGTGAGTTGAAGCATGGGATTTCAATTAGAATTGAAAGCCCATGGTTGAACAAGATGTAAGTCATTTTTCTTAAAGTTTGCAGACAAAGATTTTTGCATTTGACTTAAAAATTCCTGATATGAAGTAGGTATCGAGTTGAAATTTTATCATCAACACTCATCCCAAGTGGTATCTGTAGCGGTTTTGGAGAAAATTGCTGAAAGTACTGACGAATGGATGGATGGATGCACCTTGGCCAACAATATGACCCCACACTGTGTGGTGGGGACATTAAAAAGTATAGCTTCTCGATCAGCAAGATTTGTATATGTACTACTAGTATTATGCATTGTCATTTTTTAAATTGCTGCTTTTTTGAAGTGCATGCTTTCATTGGATAGACCCATGAGACACCACACTACATGTAGCTGTGATTGTCCACCCAAAGGTTGATTTTTCCCGTATGGTACATTTGACTGGCTAGTTCATGATGCTACGATAGGGATGATCACAGGTCAGTCAGATCAAGGTTGAACCTTTGGTAGAGCAATTTAAAGGGGCAACAAGGCCTGTAGAGAGAAAATAGGAACATTTTAACTTTTTCTGAGCTATCAAGGCATCTTTTGGCTTAGCATCTTCTTTGACATTTTCTTAAAATGTATGGATATAAAACTATCAATTTCAGCACTAAGAAGTGTAAATCCGGTTCAAAGCTTCAAAAAGGGGAAATCCATTTTTACATTTTTAAGATTCACCATGTTTCAAGAGGAATATCAACTGAAATAATGTCTATCTAGAGGGTTTCTTTATAGATAATGAAAATAGATGTAAGTCTTGATGAAATATCCAAATTAAACTTAAATATATTTTGACACTGGTCCATGATCCTTGATTGACTCCTCTGCACTAATTGTTGAACCTTTAAAGTATGATTTGTATGAGATATGAGACTACGGGTTCTGTAGAACATCCAAACGAAAATATACAATATAATATTAAATGTTTTCCATTTATTCATATTAAATCTTTACATTGAGTAAGAATCACAATCTGAGTATAACAAATACAGCATATTCATGCAATGTACATGGGGTAATATTTTTTATAACATTATGTGCAGTAATAATATTGAAAAATACATCATGGAAAATATTAATATTTTCACCATATAAAATATTATACACGAAAAGTATACCTGATAGCATTTTTCATATAAGCCTTATTTTGTATTATTGCCTTTTCTCCTTCCAAAAACTATTTCCCGTCAAAAAATGGTCCTATGTGAGAATTTTGCATTGCCTTCTCTCCTCCAAAAAACTAATTCCCATCAAAAATGGTCCGATGTGAGAATTTTGCATTGCCTTCTCTCCTCCAAAAAACTATTTCCCATCAAAATGGTCCTCTGTGAGAATTTTGCATTGCCTTCTCTCCAACCCAAAACTGTTTCCCATCAAAAATGGTCCTATGTGGGAAGTGGGGCAAAAGCTTAATAGCTATTATGTGTATAACAGTCCTGGGTGGCCATACATTAATAATGTACAGGACATACATAGACCATATACACGGACATATAAACTAGTACAGGAACACATAAACCATGTGCATGGATATACATGGACCATGTATGTGGATATGCATGGCTTGCATGGTAAAGACCATGCACACTGACATACCTAGAACATATACATGGGCATAAATAGACCATATACAAGGACATATAGACCATCTACAAAGAGAAAGACATGAACCATGTATCATCACATAAACAATGTACATACTGTACATGAACCATGTACCAGAGATACATAGATCACGCAAGGTGCACTGCATTGGATAAGAAATCATAGTAAATACTGTACAATCATAAGATTAGATGTATTCCTGTGCAATATAATGTACAATGAGATGTATTCCTGTGCACAATAATGTACAATATATGATATGTATTCCTATACCCCATAATGTACAATGAAATATATTCTTGTGCACCATAATGTACAATGAAATGTATTCCTGTGCACAATAATGTACAATATATGATATGTATTCCTATGCCCCATAATGTACAATGAAATATATTCTTGTGCACCATAATGTACAATGAAATGTATTCCTGTGCACAATAATGTACAATGAAATGTTTTCCTGTACACCATAATGTACAATGAAATGTATTCATGTGCACAATAATGTACTATGAAATGTATTCCCGTGCACCATAATGTACAATGAAATATATTCCTGTGCACCATAATGTACAATGAGATGCATTCCTGTGCACCATAATGTACAATGAGCTGCATTCCTGTGCACCATAATGTACAATGAGCTGCATTCCTGTGCAACATAATGAACAATGAGAAGTATTCCTGTGCACCATAATGTACAATGAAATGTATTCCTGTGCACCATAATGTACAATGAAATGTATTCCTATGCACCATAATGTACAATGAAATGCATTCCTGTGCAACATAATGAACAATGAGATGTATTCCTGTGCAACATAATGAACAATGAGATGTATTCCTGTGCACCATAATGTACAATGAAATGTATTCCTGTGCACCATAATGTACAATGAAATGCATTCCTGTGCAACATAATGAACAATGAGATGTATTCCTGTGCAACATAATGAACAATGAGATGTATTCCTATGCACCATAATGTACAATAAAATGTATTCATGTACACCATAATGTGCAATGAGATGTATTCGAATGCACCATAATGTACAATGAAATGTATTCCTGTGCACCATAATGTACAATGAAATGTATTCCTATGCACCATAATGTACAATGAAATGCATTCCTGTGCAACATAATGAACAATGAGATGTATTCCTGTGCAACATAATGAACAATGAGATGTATTCCTATGCACCATAATGTACAATAAAATGTATTCATGTACACCATAATGTGCAATGAGATGTATTCGAATGCACCATAATGTACAATGAAATGTATTCCTGTGCACCATAATGTACAATGAGATGCATTCCTGTGCACCATAATGAACAATGAGATGTATTCCTAAACAAATAAGAGTTTTGATGATTGATATGAAACATGTTGATTGTTGAGTTCATTATTTTACAATGATCTTATTCAATTAATTCATTGTAATCACAAAACTGGAATAAATATACACTTTATATTTCCCATATATTAGTACATTTTATCCAATCAAAAGACAAGATGTATTCACTTCAGGCTTTAGATTTTATACGTCCCATACACTCATTCAATGCACATTTATTCACATGTCCAGATTCATAAATTAATAATTTCTGATTTTCAAAAATGTCCGGTTAAAATATATATCAACATACTCGTAATTTTGATATATCTTTGATTGTTAATATTACATTATTTACAAAGTATACACTATTTACAATTTTGCATTGCTATAGACTACAGGTCAGTTACATGAACACAAATGTTAAGAATAATTTTGCTTTTGTCAAACACGTCCATAAGTGGAACACTTGAGAACTTTTATCCATGAACTAACTTTAAAATGAACCACTCAAGTGGAACACCTCCCGATGAAGTGGAATATTCTTTGAGACATCAAGGTATTCCACTTACATAGGTTTAACTGTATTCTCATCTCAATTTAGTATTTGTAACTCATTTACAAACAAATCATACATAACATTTTTAATGTAATAAAGTCATACATATGAATGTTGGTAAATCAAATGTTTTAATAATAAAACATACAATAAATGTTATTTGCACTTATAGATGTCACTTCATGATAAACATTCGTTGAAAGCAGATGACATCATTTTTTCATATTATTTACAATCAAATCATCCATGTGTAACTCGGATCATTTCTGATCAATTCTGTCTAGCCCAAATTAGGTAGCATAACTTCTTAATACAGATGAAACTCAAAAAGATACATAAAGTGTCACAAATATTGCATTTTTCATAATAAAACCAACTGCACATCTTCATAAATATCGTGCCTTTTCACATAGTTTATTTTTCTTACGGTTGTATCATTGTACCATCCAGGTATCTATATATTGTGACGTCACACCTATGAATGACGAAAATAACAAGTTTGGTTTTTTATGGACCCCATTCCGAATTCTCTAACAAGGTTTTCATTTTTGAATGCTTTTTTTATGTTTGGTGAATTTCTACACTCGTTGGACAGAATGTCAGTACAAATGCGCTCAACTTTGGTTTGTGATTTGTACAACATTCTGTCCAACTTGTGCTGAATTTCACCATGTTGAATTGCCTATCATTATGTATTCCTTAATTGAAATTATACCACTAATAGATATAACACCATTCTGTGTAATGTCAATTCATGTCTTTGACGAAGAAAGATTGAGGAATTTTTGTAGCTTAAAGGATGCAGGACATAAAAGAATACTAATCCAGGTGTATAACCAGGTAACTCATTCTACTCCACCTCCCTACTTAGAGCAGATCAAGGATATCATAAATATCCAAGTTACTTCAGTCATATCCAAGTTACTACACTCAAATCCAAGACACTCCACTCATATCTAAGATACTGTATTCGTATCCAAGATATTCCACTCATATCCAAGATACTCCACTCATATCCAAGTTACTACACTCATATCTAAGATGCTCCACTCATATCTAAGATACTATACTCATATCAAAGATACTATATTCATATCCAAGATACTCCACTCATATCTAAGATACTACACTCATATCCAAGATACTATATTCATATCCAAGATATTCCACTCATATCCAAGATACTCCACTCATATCCAAGATACTCAACTCATATCTAAGATGCTCCACTCATATCTAAGATACTACACTCATATCAAAGATACTATATTCATATCCAAGATACTTCACTCATATCTAAGATACAACACTCATATCCAAGATACTATATTCATATCCAAGATATTCCACTCATATCCAAGATACTCCACTCATATCCAAGATACTCCACTCATATCTAAGATACTTCACTCATATCCAAGATACTCCACTCATATCTAAGATACTCCACTCATATCCAAGATACTCTATTCATATCCAAGATATTCCACTCATATCCAAGATACTCCACTCATATCCAAGTTACTCCACTCATATCCACGAAAAATGTGTAATCCATTCAAAGAAGGGACTGTTCATTTATAAGTACATGTAGTACATACCATATCATTTTTAATATTTTACTTTTGTGCACTTTAGACATTATTTGTACTGAAACAGACTTCAGTCAGTATTTTCCATGTGAATTGAAACGAATTTCAATATTCCATATTTTCATGAGATACATGTTATTTCCACCTTGTAGGGTGTAGGCTAATCCATTTCAAACATTCCAGTCACAACATGAATAAGTATCAGTCTACTATTGGCTCTGGGCATGCCTACTAATTCTGGGTTATGTAAGCACATGCTTAGTTGTAGTAGGCCACACTGGCACATGCCTAGCAATCAGCGTTGCCCTTGTTTGGGTATATGTCATAAAAGCCTAATTGACTTCCAATTTCTGAAAGTTTTTCACCATGTCTAGAACTTTTGACTTCCTCCTGGCCAGCTCAGAGCTACAGTTCTCTCCATCAGTTGAAGGGGTAGGAGATTTAAGAACCTGGAATACGGCAGAGCAAATATAGCAAAATATAGCACACACACTCACTAGGCTAAACTACACCCCCCTCCAAAAGTTTGGCAACTGGAAGTCTCATTTTAGACTATGTGATGAAGCCTGTTTATGCTTTAACCAGTTCATTAATTTTGAGGAAAAAAATTAAGATGCAAAACAGGCTTAACACACTATCCAATGCAGATTTCCAGTTTTCACACTTATGGGAGGGGTGTAAGAGCAACTGATATTATCGTGCAATACATTGAGAAATGAATTATCAAATAACTCGTATTAGAGCTAGGTCTATTAATGCAAAGCAATTTAAACTACCATTACAGTTTTAATGCTACATGAATTGAATATAAGTTCAATGAACTGATCAATGACTGAAATAAGAAGTCACAAGATGCAATATTTGAATCAGGTATAATTAATATATATGAACTAATAATATATAGTATGTGCATGACCAAACAAACCAGCAAGGTAGCAATATGGCATTTCAATGCGCATAATTTTACCACACAAATATGAAAAGAAATAATCCTGATTTTAATGTACCTGCCCAAAGAACCCACTCCAACAAAATGTTCTGGTTCATTTTTTATGAATATAGAAGACAAAACAAAACACATGTGAAAATTATTGGAAAGAAAATACCCTCATCAATCAACAAAAAATTTCAAGTACAAAAAGGGTTTTTTAAACAATTAAAGTTGTAATCAAGATAAAATAGCTAAAAAATGTAATCAAGATAAAATAGCCAAAAACCGTTGTAATCAAGATAAAATAGGCAAAACACGTTGTCATCAAGATAAAATAGCCAAAAAATGTTGCATGCGAAACAAACATGCCGAAAAATTAAACTTCCTCATACTTTGGATATATTGTATCTTGTTCGGCCATAACCCCACTACCACTATCATACCTCTTTCTTGTTGTCTTCCGTTGATGATTTAATCTCCAAGTTCATGTTTCGTATAGATGGAGCCTTAAATTCACTAGGCTTCACCTCATTGGTCGATTTACTTTTATCCGTGTTACTTCCCCCAAATGTTTTATTAGATTGAGTTGTAGTTGGAGATTGTATATCCTTAGAGTTTGTAATGGTGACACTCTTAGACTGCATTTCAATTTGCTTGTCTTTATTTTCCGCTTGCTTTTGTTGCTTCGTTGTGGCAGTACTAGTGCTGCCATCTTTTTCCTCACGTTCCTTTGCACGTTTTTTCGCCATGGCAACCCAAGATGGAACATCCTTACTTGGCACCTCCACAACCTCAATTGGTTTCACCTCTGGTGTCTCAGCTGGTTTCGTAGCATCAACCAGCTTGGTTGGTTTAACACTTTCTGATTTTAATGAAACTGGCTTAGATGGAAGTTCAGGCTTACTTGGTTTTGCCTCTATCGTTACTTCCTTAATGTCAACTTTAATCGTTTCTTTCGATTTGGATTCAATCTTTGAAGTTGATTGCTTAGATTTAGATTCAATCTTAGTAGTTTCTTTAGTCTTTGGGTCTGATTTTAATAATGGAGTATTGACCATCGATTTTACCTCATCCTCATGAAAACTCTTTCTTGCCTCATTGAAGCTTTTTCTGGCAGCCTCACCACCTACGCTTACAGACCCAACGGGCTGAGTCTTACTCCTTGATTGCACCCTGCGCTCAACAGTGTCTTTTGGGGCACTCCTTTTAAACTGGTCACTATCACTTGTGATTGTTTCAGTTGTAGCAGTAATATCAACACTTTTTTCTTTTATCTGAGCCACTTTTTCAACAGTTGCAGTTTTAATTTCAGTTTTTGGTTCAAGTTTGTTGTCAGATATCTCAACCTGTACAGTTGTAGCAGGTTTGGATGTGTTTTGGGTGCCTGGAGTCGGGGAAGTAAATCTCAGTGACTGGCCTTTAGTTGGGCTACTTGGTTCTTTTGCTGAGGATATCTCAATGTCCTTGACCTTCATGTCGCCATCTTGTTTCCAAGATGACTTGCGTTTTATTTTATTCAGCATTTGAGCAAATTCTGGTTGGCTACTTTGCTGTTCATCATCAGATTTAACGTCTTTGGGTTTACCCAAATCATCCCAGTTTGTCTTTTCTGATGATGCTTGCCTGAAGTGAAAAAAACAGAAGTACATTTTTTGAACTTGTACATACAGATTGGTTACTGAAACAGGTCAGGTTAATTTCTTATGTTGGGTTGAATGATCATTGGTTTTGAACTCATCCTTTTACATCAAGTTGAGCAATGTATGCTTAACTTATAAACCATCTTTAGAACCTAAGAACACTACATGTATACCATATGTTAAATGAATATTTATTTGCCATACCATATACATATGAAGATGAAAGTGATGAAATGAATATTCTAACATCTTGTCATTTCTGAATTCATTTCTGAATCAGTAAAATTAAAGATGAATAATATAAGACATATACATTCTTCAATTATTTTGTGACCATCTTCACACTTCAGGTTTTTATCATATCTGTACAGAGAAAAGTATTTGTATTTAAATCTTTGAATTAGCAAAATACCAGTTGACAACCTGAGCAATACAAACCTCATTTTGTGGCTTTCAAACATAGATGTTGGACGTGGCTTCCCTGGACTTGTCTGTTCTTTTGGCGTCTCCTTGTCCCTTCGTTTAACACCACCAGCTGGTGGTACACTCTCATTCTCCTTATTGTCTTCACTTGTTACAACAACCACCTCTGCTGTCGTTGTTTTCACCTCTTCCATAGTGACTTTAGTTGTTTTCACCTCCTCTTTAGTGACTTTATTTTCCCCTGCAGACTCTGTTGAAGTAACTTCACTGGTCACTTTGGTAGCAGTGGTTGCTGAGCTTGCTTTAGGACTGGGAACAGGTTCAGGGGTTACCTTGGAAACCGTTACAGGTGTTGTCTTGGAAACCATCTCAGGCGTTGCATTGGAAACCACCTCAGTTGTTGCCGTGATGGTGGCTGTTGTTGTGCTTTGAACAGATTTCTCAGGTGAAGTGGTCCTCTTAGGGCCAAGTTTGGGAGGCTTTAAGGCAATCTTAGTCTTAGATGGCGCCACTGGAAGTAATAAATATAACACTCTGATACCACCGTACTTTCTCATCATAATTTGTACTAAAGCCTTATTGAATATCATATCCTTTCAATCACCTGATAAAAACAAACTTCAAATACAACTTTAAAAGTTAACCGCTGAATAAATCTTTAATTTCAGATATAATATGATGTATTTACATCTTTGGTTAAATGGCTCTGAGTTAGTAAGTGGGATTACTGATATTATATTAATCTCATGGGGGGTTAATAAGGTGCCCTTGGATTCATCAACTCAAAAGATCATTTCATTGCAGATGTATAATTCATTTTCTGGAGAGTACAAAGTGACAGGGACAATAACAATGCCATTCATGCCATAATTAGAGGTTATGTCACTATCGTTGCATAAATGCCCGAGGGTTTCAGTGATATATGGCCCGACCTTGGGAGGGACATTGATCACTGAGAACCGAGGGCGTATGTGCAACTATAGTGACATAAACGATTTATAACATACCTATGATGATCTAGTCTGGTCAGAGAGTACCATTTTCTTATCTAATTGACTAGCAATGGTTCGGAAATGATGATTTATTCCCATGTTTGTATCTTACGAATGTATGAGTCAATTTGACCTAGGCCTAATGTATGACGTAGTCCCAGCGCTTGACCAATCAGAAAGTTAGCAGGCGCTGGCTTTTCAAGAGTTATATTGGCCCGCCGTCTTGTGAACAGTTAACACTATACATCGTCATAGGTATGTTATAATGGACATTAGTGAATAAAGCTATTAGACAGTAATTTGTTCTCATTGTAATGTGTATATCTCAATGTACAAATGAACACAAAGATCAATAAAATGGCTTTCCATAAAAAGGTTGAATCCCGGGGGTTGAATTGAAAATCATTCTAACCTTGAGTTACTGGTGCCTCCTGTGTAACTGTCACAGTACTGATGGACACTTCTTCCTCCCCAACTGATGGCAAGTCTGACTGGCTTTTACTCTTATCAGGCAGCACCTACAAGATTTATGACAGTGTTTTGAACTGAACACTCAAAATACTAACACTAACTTTGTAAAAATACTTTTGAACACAACAGGAAGTTTTGAAAAAGTGTTCAAAAGCTGATCAAACAGATTTTCAATACAAGGTTAACATGCAAAATGTCACTACCTGCCATTTGTTACAGATGCAGCCTGCTCCCCACTGAACATAATCCACAAACAAGTTAGAGAGTTAAAAAATGTCACCACTTGTGTTGGTGACATAATAAGTTTTATTTTACTACTTTTATCATCATTTAACAAAACTGAACAAACTTTGAAAAACAGTGAAACCTTTAAAGTGGAACACCTCTAGAAGTGGAACACCTCTTAAGTGGTACACTTATTAGAGATACCAAAGGGGTTCCACTTAGACTCGTTTCACTATATATATTTTCTTACGTCTGGACGCCTCCTAGTTGAGGCAGGCTGATGCTTCTTCCTGGGACGAACAGACATCTTATGACGAGCGGCAGACGTGCTGAGTGAGTTGGTACGTCTGACTGCGTTGAAATCCATCTCACCTACAGGATCTGAAATGTAAGATACGAAGATGACAAACTAGGATTATTGAAGGCATTATCAAACATGGTACCAAAATATTGATGAACTTGGTGTCATGCACTACCAGTTGGAATGAATAATGCATATAATCAATAATTAGTTATACCCTTATTAATTAGTTATACCATTATTAATTAGTTATACCATTAATTAGGTATTCAAGCATTGTTAAAGTTTGGGTTCTGTTTGATTGACCCATTGATTTTGAAAATGCAGTGGCATCAGTAGTCTGCCCAAGTCGGTATTTTTTTACTTATCTGATCTTGAATTATTACCTGGCATCAGCAATATACAAGAATCTTACTTATTGGAAGCTTACAGAAGACTTGTAAATTATTTATGCAAAAACAAAAGACATTATATTGCAAATTTTTGTAATTTTGTGAATAAGGGGATCAAACTTTGGTCACCAGTGAGACAGAAGTAAGGATTATTTCATTGCACTGTAATGTGTTCAACTAACCCTACTATCACACCAAACTAGTTCTCACTACGTTCTCGAAAACGGGCTTCAACTGTGTACGAACGGACTGGACCTACTAAGAACTGTTTGGGATCTATTTACAAACTTCATCGAACGTACTCGAACGGGTAGGTCCTCTTGAACTTAGAATATGCTCAAAATGTTCTCGTGGTCGTCACGTTCTACAATTAGAACGAGTGACAACGTACTAACGACGAGCTGGACGTACTACGAACGGAACCGTCGTACTTCAATCCTACTAGGGACGTTTAAACAACGAGTTGAACTGTCTGAGGACGTGTTGAGAACGAGGTAGAACTAATTGCAAATGGGTTTAAACTGATTAAGAACGTATTTAACACTGCTTATGAACGAGTTAGCAAAAATATAGGTATCACACCAAACAAGTTGCCACTGCGTTCTTCAAAACTGGTTTTAAACTGTGTGCGAACGGAATGAACGTAGCTGCAACTTTCTAAGGTCTATTTACGAACTTTATGAACGTTCTCAGACGGGAATGTGATTTTAGAAATTTGAATCGATTCAAAATTCGATGGCGACCATACCGTTCTGTAATCAGGTCATGTTGACCTTCTAGACTAAGGGACACGTTCTACGACGTTGCACACCGACGTGGTGCGACCTGAACGAACTGCGAACGAGATGGACGTATTGAAGACTGTTTAAGAACGAAGCAGCTAATTATTTCAGACATATTTCCCGACCACAGCCAGATTGAGCCCGTTTTACGACGTTTTCGTAGGACTGGCAAAAATGGGTAAGAACTAGTTTGGTGTGATAGGGGGGTTAGATTCCACAGTGTTATTCTTTTTTTAATGCATCAAGTTTACTATGAATTATATTTGTCTATGCTTTGGACTTTCACTTTTTATTCTATTCAATTCAGTTTTTTTAGATCCAGATTTTTCTGAACTTTTTATTCCTATGAAATCACTCCAATAAACTATGTTATCAATAGGTTATCATACTACAGTGAATTAGTGAACACCTCTCTCAAGCGAAAAACTGTCTCTTGGGGACACCCTCCCTACATTCTCTACTGACTTATGTATAAATGACCCTCTCTGAACATAGTAAACACCTACCAATACTGAACATTTTTTCTCGGAAAAAATGCTCAATATAAACAGATTTTACTATATTGTAGTCTGCATCTAGGTCTAATGTGTTGTGACAGGGAAAGTTCTCAATATATTTATAGAGCAATTAAAGCTTGTCATTAAACTACTGATAAAAGTAATCGAAAACTAACCTTCAGAAATTGCACCACTGCTGGAAGACGCAGGAAAGGACCTCGAGAAGAAATCCTGAAAAAACAAACAACAAACAAATAAGCAAACAAACAAAAAGCAACGCATTCTTGAACAATGAACATAAGTCGTGGTATTATTTTTATACAAGACATTATATGCAAAATGTCACCACCTGCAATTTAACACTGAACACCATCCACAAAAAAAGTTGAAGACTATAACAATATATCACTGCTTGTGGTGATGACATAATGAACATACATATTAGGTGCTGGATCAATATATCAATTTATTTGCCAAAACAATTTAACAAAGGGCCAGTCCCATCCCATTGCTTATTGAACATTAGCACCTATGCAATTTCACTGTTCAATATCTATATAATGGAACCTCGTTTTTACCCTTCCCCCAATGTAAATAATTTTGTGAGAAAATACAACATTGATATATGTGACTCTGCCCTTATTTATAGCATACTGACATATTTATTATGATTTAACAGTAAAGATTTAACCTGTAAAGTGGAACATCTCTGTTAGTGGAAAACTTCAGAATCCCAAGACCAATTGACTTAATGTTAAATGAACCTCTATAAGTGGAACACCTCCCAAGTAGAACACTTTTTAGAGGTACCAAAGGTGTTCTACTTAGACAGATTTTATTCTATACACTTCAGCCTTAAAACCTTATCACAAGCAAAGGTTCTGTTGGATGCATCATGGAAGACAATTGTTATTCTTAATAAATTTTTAAAGTATGTAACATGTAAAGGCCAATATTAAATAAAAAATAGAAAAAATAATTAATTAATCAAATAATAATTAGTAAATAATCAAAAAAATGATTGAAGCAATCTTTATGCACAGAGTATGATAGCATTCCTTAAATACAATAAATCATTATTATCTAGGAATGCAAAACAATAATAATCATGCAAAGCAATATTTTAAATATGTGCAATACGTGTATATAAAATAGCGGTCACACAAAATAAGTTAAATTACAGTATAATCATGCATGTATAGTAATTACAGTGTAACAATACATATGTGTGGAAAATATACATTTTTAATATAATTACAATCATTACTATGGAGATGTACAATTCATTAGGATTAAACAACTATCAATATATTTTACAATACATGTACAAAACTATTAACCTTATATACTGTAATAAGGTAGGCTTTTCTCAGTCTTTAATCAGTATACATGTAATTAACTAATTTTAATCAAGAACTTGATCATTTAATATTTTTAATCACATAATGTCTTTTGTCCAGTGATAAGACTAGACAAAATATGACAAAATTGTAACCAATCTTCCAGAAATCTTGGATTGACCAATTGCGAACATAATATTCGGAAATTGGCTGGAATTTGCCTCGTTCACCAATTCAATGCATCTTAGGCATTCGGCTTTTTACCATGTACTGTTCTTTCAACCAATAGAAACCTTTATTCATTTAAGTGCAATAAGGACCATACTACACAGAATCCCTGCATCTATTTATTGGATTGACCAATGATAACACTCTACACAGTATGACATCAAAAAATCACAAACACAACAACCAATGAGATAACACAGAATCTCTATATCTGGAACAGACCAATGAAAATACTTCATACAGTATTACATCACAAACACGACAACCAATAGGATCTCGCGGAATCACAATACCTATATCTTGGATTGGCCAATGATAACACTATATACAATATGACATCACAAATACAACGACCAATGAGAACTCACAGTATGCCAAATCTTGGATTGAGTCACAAAAAGTTTCTTATCTTGCCCAAGCCATTTTGCTCCCTATATAGAAAGACGTATAAGGCTATATAATCACCAGACTTTCTTTAAAATTCCTGGTTTTGATGCAATACATTTTAAGAAGAAAGAAAAATGTATTAGTCATAAAATAAAATGCTCCAAATAAATAAATAAATCAAGCCATACCAAAAATCACTTAATTTTAAAACATGCTTTTACATAAGCTTTCTTATATATATTATACATTCATATACAAGGTATGCATTACCACTTTCTGACCAATCAGATTGCAGTATAATCATGGGGTTAATTGAAGTGATAATGCATGACTTATTTTGTCCATGTTTCAGCATCCAGGATGGCAATATTGCCCTTGCAAAATTATTGAAATGATGAAATACTAATGCTAAGACAGCGATTAAATTGTATGAAGATAAAATATGAAATACCTAAAAAAAGTACTTGTTGAAACATGAGCTAAAAAGAACAAACAAAGAAATAACACACAAGTAAAACAAACAACTGAGTCTTAAATAAAAAAAAAAAAAGCAATTAAGTAATGAATAAAATAAACAAACAAATAATCACATATGAAAGCATTATAGCGTCTAGAAATAACAGCATGAAATATGACGGTAGCAATATATGGTTTATTAATAATGGAATGTACATCATGCAATGTAGGGCCATGACTTGTACATGCTGGTACTTATTATGAGTTTACCTCTATTGATTCTTCTCCTTGTATACTCTCCATGCTATTCTCTCTATTGGCTTTTTCAACACCTCCCTATAGAATACAACATTTATGTAAGGCCATGCTATAGGGCATCAGCACGTGTGTTTGGGAATTTAACAGTGGCTGATTTAACCATGGCTTTTTCAACACCTCCCTATAGAATACAACATTCATGTAAGGCCATGCTATAGGGCATCAACCAGGATTAACCTAACCATGACTTGTTCAACCCCTCCCTATAGAATACAACGATCACATAATGCACAAAGTATCAATACTTAGGATTTGAGAATTTAACCATGGCCAGGAAATGTGGTCTTCGCAAGATCATATTAACACAGGGTTGTCCCAGAAGTTTTAACCTTTTTTTGAGGGGGGGGGGGTGTATTTGATTAGAGGTATACATTCAACAACAGGATTTGATCCATGTGTCTGAATTCTTTTGGTTTCTGCATCAAGGAAATTTTTATCATTTTTTATCATTCTTATCTCCCTTAAAAGTCTTATGTATCAGTATAGTTTTTATATTTACAGAGGTAATATTACCAAGGAATGGGTGGTCATAAAGAGAAGGTTGGGGTCCCATGGAAGCAGGGGGGGGGTAGAGTGGGAGGGGTGGGGTTTTGTCGGATCTTAAAACGGGCGAATATTAGATTATCATTCGATTTTGACTCCCATTAGTTCAAATCAACTTGTTTGTTTTCTGTATCAATACCTGTGTTTTACATGTCTCTTGCTGCGTTTTGTAATACGATTTGGTCTTTCCCCTTTTGGTATTTGTAATATTCATAAGATATGTATTATGTCATTCAATGATGGCGTTTCAGTTGGTATACAATATTTATACTAAGTCTAATCTCTTTTGATTTTTGTATAATAGCCACAACTATTGTAATTATCTAATGCACATATCAGCAGGCCCGTAGCCAGGGGGGGTTCGCAGGGTTCGGGCGAACCCCCCCCTGGCCAAAAATTCTTTCAAAATCATGCAGTTTTTGACCATTTTGAGCACTTCTCTAGTGATTTTAGCCAAATTTGGGCCAAAATTGTCAAATGTGAACCCCCCCTGAAAATTTTTGAAAATTGAACCCCCCCTTGGCAAATCCTGGCTACGGGCCTGTATCAGTATGTATTGTATCATTATTCTATTTTAAATATTTATTGTATGAGTTATACATTTTATGATATTTTCAGGGTTCAATAAAAAAAGAGAATGATCTTTAATGATAATGATAAAAAAAACATAAACATAAATTAGCCTCATACTGTCTCTAAAACTACAATTTAGCTATAATATAACTACTTCCTCGAATATATGTCTTCAGATCAATAAAAATATGATCCTTTACTCCTCAAATCATCATCTAAATGCTCAAATCCTCACCTCTAGTTACATGGATTGTCCCTATGTATATCCCAACATATATACCCCAAACTATATATCCTAAACTGATATCCTAAATTATATCCTTACAGTTAAAATGAAGTCACTATATCAATAACAATGGGTCCATACTGCAAGTATCTATAGCATGCAATTCTTATTGAGAGCGATAGAGAATATTGGATGGATAACTAGAATCCCTTACAAAAAATCATTTCAAGGTTCTCACATATTCTGCTCCATTTATCAACGAAATAACATTATTTATGTATGCGACTGATTTGAAATTTCAGGATGTGAAAATATAAATGAATAAGGGGAATGATTTTAATTAATTCTGATGGACGAATTGTTTTGTTTTGTAAGGGTTTGTACTGTACTGCAATGGGAGGCCTCCCTGGATCAATATTTCTAATATGATTCAGCTGTAGATGCCATCATAAATTAATCAATTTTAATATTTGTTTTTACTTCATGACATAGCTGTTCCTTAATTTCCAATCTTTGTTTTTAATTCTTTAAAAGTGAGCCTCGTGTGTTTTGTGTATTAGGCTCTGATCCATGGTACTAGAATCACACACCGAAATTATACCCCTAGCTTTTCAATACAAGTACATGTAGTTAAACTTTTAACAATAATATTTTCATTCATTTTATTGGTTGTTTCGCCTTGCTCATATTTATTGGTTTATTGGATTTTAATTATACCTTTTTGTTTTTTTGTAATCCTCTTAATGTCATTTGTTCACTGATATGGCAGTTAATTGTAGTTTACTTTGAATTAAAATTTTCCTAAATAAATTTTTTAAATAAATCAAGATACTGGTTGTTGAGATACACCATAGATGGGGAAATTACCCAGAATTCTCAGATGGACCTATGTTCAAGTAAATGAACTACTGAGCTACTTCCAAGAAACACATCTTTCAAGATGAACCAGGTTTATAAAGGAATTCTGGGTTTTTCCTCCTCTTGATGTAACATATATATTTTGATTAGAAAGCACAAATGGCAACATTTAAAAAGCATGAAGGAGGAACACTGAAAGACAATACAATCATAATTTTAATAATTTTAACAATCAAGTGATCTCGTTCATTTTTTACTTTTATGAAAATAACGAAAATAACTTGTTATTCAGACTAGGCCTCTATGCAATAAAATCATATTAAATCATAAATTATTTGAAATCAATCTGCAATATTATTACAAGGAACATAAAGTAATAACGGTCACCAGCATATTCAAATGTCATTTTTATTACTTTCCAGTTCAATAAAAATATTAAAATAAACAATTTCCCTGATTACATTTCCAGATTAAAATAATCATATTGATTTGTGATTGCGAGAAATTGGTTGCAATATCAGATCATTTGCTATAATAGCTTACTTACTTGCCATTTTTCTATGTAGTATATGTTCCTGTGAATGGTGATAAGCTTTTTTCCAGTGATGGGCAATTGCTTATCCATGGTTATATAATTTGTGTAATTTATGTTGTTATAAATCCTTCTTTATTGCCGATGAAATAACCATGAGGCGATATCTTTTTTAATTTATTCTCATGAGAATTTTGCCTACCTATTTTCTATAATGACATTTACATGGGTGTTCTTAAGAAATCTCTCCCTAATATATCCACATATATCAGTTGTTCTAGAATTAAAAGGCAAACAAACTATGACAGTTTACATTAGCTACAAACCTGTGTCTTATGTTATTATACTACTTTCAATTGTTTAATTTTAATTCTTTAACAGGGAGGTTTATCTCAAAAGTTATTACTGTGCTCTGGGCCTCCAATGAAGTGTTCACACTGTCCAAATTGCTAAATCATGTTTAATAACATTAGAGTGAAAATGCCTTCCTGACAACTGAAATGAGAATTATTGTAAAGATATAAAAAATTTTTTGAATCAATCCCCCTCCTCGTCCTCTCTCTTCCCCCTTTCCTCCCATGCCTCCTCCCTCACTTAATCCCCTGCTTCCTCCCTCTATTCCTCATCCCTCTTCCACAAACTACAAACTATCAATCATTAAAAATTGCTCGAGGAAGGAAAAGAGGGAAGGAAGAGGGGAGGGGACAACACTAGAGCTTTAACAAAACGACTATAAGTATAGATATGTACCATCTTATATACTTTACTATGGGCATCAATTTGGATTGTCTCCAATGAAAATGACACGGCCTTCTTAGCAGCCAGTTTATCTCCAAATGATGCAGATCGTTTAGATACCACAGCTTTGGACTGTGTTACTATAGCTGATGATTTTGAAGCTAAAGCTGTAGATTTTGACGCTAAAGCTGTAGATTTTGAAGCCACAGCTATGGATTTTGAAGCTACAGCTGTGAGTTTTGATCCTTGAATACTAGGTTTAGATGCAACATCTTTGGATTTTGAAGCTGTGGATTCTGAAGCTACAGCAAAAGATTTTGATCCTTGAATAGATTTTGATCCAAAAGCTTCGGATTTTGAAGCTACTTTGGGCTTTGGTCCTTGAATGTTAGGTTTAGCTTTTACTGTATTCCTCTTTGTAGTATTATCGTCCAATTTTGGGCAAGCATTTGCTAAGCTATTTCCAAGAAACGCATCTCTTTTAAATCCAGATGGTGGCTCGAATTTCTCAAACATGCATTGAAAATTAAACTCTGTCATCTTGGTCTTGTTTTAACGTTCATAAACTATATAATCCTTCAATAGAGACTCCTCAATATAATGAAAGCCAATGTTTAATTAACCAACTTTTGATTGCTATATGACGTCCCCACCAAAATGTGTAATAAACATAGACATTGTACACCACATATACACAAATCAATCACTGTATTGCATTGATATCAGCAAGCAACAAGCTTAATTAATTTAAATGACATGGAGTGTTAATTAAAAATCTTTACATAATACTGCACTATGTAATGGATTATTTATAGCAGTTACAAGTAGTGTATTGTGTCTTGCATTTGGTAATACCCTTTAATTCAGAGCCAAGTTGTGATAATAATTGTATGTGAAGCTTTCTTTTCAGATGTGAAATCAAATTCTTGAAAAGTGTATATGCAATAACAGGTGAATATACGTTATTCATCCAATATGCTTGCCTTAAAGTGGTAAAAGTGGAACAATTTTGGGAATGAGGTTCATAAGGAAGCCCATGGGTAAATCAGGTTATTTTTTGTATTTGGCCTGCCTTATAAAGGTACATTTTAAATTACAACTGATCTGAAAAAAATATCCAAATATTAATTTTAAAAAATCAATTTTGTACATAGATTTATGCTCAGAATATTAACTTGATAGTAAAAACAAAACACTGTATCCAGACAAAATTAACAGGTGAATAAATTGACAGGTGAACTAACTAGAAAATGGTAACTCCGCGGAGTAGCAAATCCCAACGAACACTATATAAATTATCAATCTGTACAGTCAAAATGTAATATTTACCATCTATTCTTACCTTCAATAAATATTTTAAATCCTTGAAGTATCATGTAACCATACTTTCAAGATAACTCTAAGTAATGGCGAATTTCTGCTCTAGTCAGCCATTTTGAATTTTCAGAGGCGCAAATCAGAAAAACAATGCCATAATTGTGATCTACTCTGAAATACCTTCAATTTGAGTATAATATAGCCATACTTTTAAGAGATCAGAAAACAATTGTGAAATCCCACATTAGGCGGCCATTTTTTAATTTTTTGAGGCCCGAATCAGAAAAACGTTACAATATTTGCAATCTACTCTAAATTTCCTTTCATTTGAGTATAATAAAGCTATACTTCAAAAACATCTCAAAATTAACGCAAATTCCTGTTTTCTCGATCCTCATTTACGGCCCCTGGGGGTCAGGGTGAAAAACCCGGGATATATGTGAAATAGATAGATGTTGTTAATATACTACCAAAATTTCAAATAATAATATTTATTATTTTGGTTTAAAATGAAAAACATAAGATTTTTGCGAAAAATTCCCGCCATTTTTAAACTGGCGGCCATCTTGAAAAAACAATTTTTTCCATAAAACTGTTTACCAATGTACATCTTTCCACCAAATATGAAGAAAATCTGTTGACTAGTATTTGAGTTATCTTCCGGACAGACGGATGGACTGACTGACGGACTGAGACTGACGGACGGATGGAGGGCTTCACTATATCCCTACAGAACTTCGTTCGTTTGGATAATTAACAGTTGAACAAATTGACAGGTCATTGATCTCTAGGGTGAAAACAATAAACTATTTATACCTCTACACTGTCGCTTGAAGCCAGGAAAACAGACCAGTATCAATTTTAAAAACAATAAAAATTTAATAGATCAAACTTAATTGGATATTTTCAAATTTCTAGATGGCATTTGACCTTAATCAGTTAACCATATTACAAATTAAAATGTTTCCTCTGATAAAAGAGATTAAACAATATTATTAGCAAATTATTTCACTTTTTCCATTTTTTTAGAGTCAAATACATCGTTTTTAAATTTTGTATTGAAGATGACTTACTGTGCTGGTTTTCTCCAGGTAGAAGTGAAAACACCCCGCATGTTGGCACCTGTACATGATCTCTTCGCAAACACACGTCACAAATAACAACTGATCTTTATCTATACAAGCTAATCCTCTCAAAACACTATGATTCTCAGATAAATATCCCTTTATGTCAACTATTTGTTTCAACCGTATGATGAGTTATTATTTTCAATATAGTGCCCTCCCTGGATCTACCACACCCGTCATAATTCAGGATATGACTAGTACTGAAAAACGACAATTCAACATTATAAAATTTAGGCTGATATTTATAAATGCATATTTGAATCTATAGAAAATTGTAAATTAATATTACAAGCTCAATAATTGTTTGGTTTGTGGTTCACGTAATATTTTTGTAACATTTTGTAATAATTATTTCAGCAACAGTGATCTCATGATAATTTCATATGTTACCAACCTATAGTATTTTGCCCCTGACATATTATATATAAAGTCTAATATTCATGTTAGAGATACAATGACAGAACCAATTAGGTGTCGGATAAACAATGCAATACAGCGAAACCTGTTTAATGTGAATACTTCATGAGCAAGTTGGTATATATCCTGAGATGAATTAGTACTCATATACGTTCATACTAAAAGGTGTTCACATTTAGAGTTGTTCATACTGAAAGGTGTGTATACTGAAAGGTGGTCATATCAAGAGGTGTTTACAAAGAAACTGATTCATACTCAGAGAGGTGTTCATACTTAAAGGTATCCATACTTGAAGGTGTTTACACTTAGAAGGTCTGAAAAAAGTGAAGTCAAACGCACAACATACAAAGTTGGGACCAAAAAACATATTTGCATTTCAAGATGTTGGCACACAAAGGTTTTACTGTATGCACATATTATCATGTTATAGAAATAAAGGTTATATCATACTAATATGCTATACTATACTGAAAAACTTGATACTCTTGATATCAGTATTTCAAAGATAATTATTATCTTTATTAGAAGATCATTATTTTTATAATTCAGATTACACATGAAACTGACTTTTGCATCGGAAAAATATCACAACTTCAAATGTCTCAATTTCAGCAAAGCGAATTTCATTCCTTGAATTGGAAATTTTTTGAGAAATTCAACATATTGTACATGATTTAAAGGAAATCACTGGGTGTAAAATTTGCACCTATTAAAATAATGTGAATATCTGCATTTACATTGCATCTAGCTAACTTAGAATCTTATGGACCATTAATGTCACTTGCAATCCCATTCTATATTTCTGATTCTTCATTTAACTCTAATTAAAGGACTGAATAAAAATAATTGAATAATCTCATTTAATAAGACATGACAAGTAGGTGCTTCATGAGATAATGAAGTTATTCAACATAGGTTACTACATATTGATGAATGCCATACTTAATATCAAGTATGGAATCAATAAATTCCTGAGTCTTGGAAATATCAATGTTTTGCATGATCTCAATTTTGCCCATTCTCTCCTGAGGCAGAGGAGGCTGAGGGACCCACAATGCAATTGCAAATGCGGAGATATGATTCTACTTAAAGTTTTGCTGAAGACCCTGGACCCCCCCCTCTTGTCTACTTCACCAGTGTTATGTATGTGAAGTACAATGGGGGGGGGGGAGGTACAGACTTGAAGCAAGCTGATTCACCATCTCAATACTGTTATTAGCAAACAGTAAACGATGATGTATGGTTGACAGGTTGACATATAGCAAAGAGAAATTAATTCATTGCCATATCTCCTATTGTTTCTATGTTGATAAGTCAGGCAAGGTTATATCAATATGTTATCGTAACCATGGCGATCAAATTATAGAAAATAGCCCAATCATTTTTTCATCTTATTACATGTACTTATTTTTACTAATTACATCTACTGATATCAGCTTATACTATGATTCAGGTCTTAATATGCTTAACTATGTTGACCTTTTTCCTTGGTTTTTCTTTAGATATTGTAAATCAATGGCTAACGAGTAACTTACTACTTTGGTTTTTTGTAGGGTCCGAGTCCTTCTATGAAATCACAGTCGTAGAATTGCTGAGAATTTGCTATATTTCCGCTGATGATCTGATAGTGCTCAACCGATGCAATCATTTATTCTTGTCTATTGTAAAATCAGCTTTAACACATGTTGAAAAATATCTAATCTCTTCAATAGAGTTATCGATGAAAAATCTCAAGTCTTTTAGATATGGATTTTTTGTACTTTACTGCACTGTTGGATTGTGAATTGGCATATTGAAGAGCTACTTTTGAACCCTTACGTTTTGTGAAATAAAAATGTTTAATTCCATAATAACAATCCTATACCCTCATATTACAATCATCATAAAATAGCCCAATCCTTATATAAATACATCGTGACTTGAAAATCACATAAATTCATTATTTTAACAATGATATGCGGAAAAACACTCGGACAGCTTCCCTGTGTTTCTAATAATCTAAGAGACTTCTAGTAGATTTACTGTAGTTAGAATAATGGTAACCTCCTGTAATTAACACTTTTGTTTCAACATGCAAGCTGAATGGCATAATTTAGAATCCAATTAATGGATAATGGGATTCAGAATTAGCTTTCTCTCGCAAAAAATTAGTATTTGTTTTTTCGAATGGTTTTAATTGTTATCATGATGGGGATTGATTTATATAAGGACTGAATTACCAAAATTACCATTGAAAGAGTTTGGTCTCTAAATTATTGTCAAATGAAAAGTTTCTTTCATGAAAATCAAGGCATTAATGGGTAAGTAATTAAGCTGCATGGCATGTGCATTTCTAAGGGAGTATGGACTTCTTATTCAAACTCTAATATTTACAGAAAAGAAATGTTATATGGAACCATGTTTACTAATGGTGCCAGTTATAAGTTATTCTGAATTATTTTTAATTTTGGTATATTTAGAATCAGAAGGGGCCCCTTTAATGCAAAGGATATGTATCGATATGGTTAACTGAATTCAACAATTTTTCTCTCTTAAACCAATTATTGAAAACATTCTGTAACAAGACGACGACAATATAGCACTTTTTCAAAGTGCGATAAAAACATTGGGCCCCTTTAATGCAAATTTCCTATAATTTCAATTACAGATGTATCATTTTCAATGATTATGATTTGATATTGATATCAAAAGTACAATAGAAAAAATCATATATTGGAGTTTCACCATGGACAAAAAGGTGTGGAATAGTTTGTTGCTTTTTCCAAAATTGTCCAAGATACCGACTTTAAGGCATATTGACCAGTTTTTATCTGACATTGTGCGATACAATATTTACCAAATACATTGCCGAGCTAACTGTGAATTATATTTTAAACTTTAGAATCTTTAGAATATCTACAATCATAAAGTATAAGAAACCTTTACATTAATATTAAAAGACTATAAAAGAAGAAGCAGACTATTATATCTTTGGATTAAATATATTACTAGATATCTCAGTACTAATTGAAATGTTAGCCACATACGCCATCTATTTTATGATACAATGATTATATTGTTTAAAACAAACCATTCTCTATTCTATAAAACCTCATTTCTTTGACACTTATACAGCTTCAGAAATGCATATTACTAGAACTGAAAATATTTTTTGAAAAATACCAAATAGCCAAGTCTTGATTATTAAATACTAATATGATTTGTCCCTATCAATAATATTTTGAGATGACCTTGAAATGCACCTCGGCAAAATATATGTAAAAATAAATATAACAAAAATGTTTGAAAATAACAACAAAATATATAAACAACAAATATGAATACTCATATACAAACATAAAAATGCAGATAGCTTCCAGAGACAAAACCCGACATAGAAATAGTGGAGTTTGTTGGTAACAAAAGAATGGGGGCTTGAATATAAAGGGAGGGGGAGGGTGAAAAGGGGAAGGGCTAAAATATGTAAACCCCGAGGGTAAATTGGTGTAGTGGATTTTATGACAAATGGTCGAATGGAACATGAATACTGGTTGAATGTTAAAACTAAATGGTAGAATCTAATATCAATAAATAGTTCCTACTAAGAGCAATGGCGATTTTATTTTGATTTATTTAGCTGAAATTTGAAAAATGAAATGCAGGACAAGTAATTGTCAGATAAAGAGAAACAAATGTTTGTCGTGAGATTGATTGATGCATGTGGGGGTCTGCGCAATTGCCCTTAATGTACAGATACAAACAAATCTCTGCGAAAACATGAATATTTCATCATGTGATTTATTATGTAAGATGGAAAAGTAAAATGAGGAAGAATTTTATGTTAACTTTGTATCTATAGATCAGGTTTATATCCTTGCAAAATATTGTTTTGGTTCAAATATTTTAGACTATATATTAGACTAGCAATCTGTAGTCTTTACCTATAATTAATATTTCAAAACCAAATGCAATGTTTTGCAAGGGTTTGATGTTGTTACCATGGAGACAGAGGAAAGTACCTGAAGACTACCACCATATAAGACATCAACAGTTGTCAAGGGAGGGTTGCTAGGGCTGCCTGGGAGACCATCGTCATCAGAGTTATGACGTGCTGCGATCTTTTGGAATAATTCACTCTGCAATTGTAGTGCCATCTAGTGTTAGATTTTACAACAAAGCTTGGCATTTGAGCACCTTTCCAATTTTGAGGGCAAAACTATAACTTATTGTTTAAATGCAGATTAACTCTACTGACACCATTCTACCCCCATAAACCTTCAAAATGTGAAAGATGTGTACTGTACCACCTAGATGACCATTACTGCTGTTAACTTATCAAAATGGATCCATCAACCATTTATGATGATGTGAACGACAGTTATGGTCTGTGGTAGTGGCCAAATGTAAATGTAAATTGTTAAATTTCACTAAAAGTACATGTTAAAGTACAGAATATGTGTTATATATCATTTCACTAAATCACTATAGTTTGTTAAGTACATCTTTGAGTCAAATGCTCAATTCGTTCTATATTACATATAAGTGCATCACTACAGTATTAAAACATAGGATGGTGAAGTAAAGGTTATTGTTAAAGCAGACCAATCTACTTAAATCTATTGTTAATTCCAAAAAGGTTATTATCTCTAAATGTTCTGAGTGAAGGTTGGGAGTTATGAAACCGACATAGGGGTACACTCTACTCAATAAATTTGGCAACCACAAGTTTTCTTTTAGATCACTTATTACAAAGCATGTTTGCCAATTTAAAAAATTCATCAAATTCATGAATTCCAAACTTTCGTAATTAAAGAACAACATTTTGATGCAAACACTGACAGACTGTAACATGCTATCCAAAACTTTCAGTTGCCAAATTTATGGAGGGGAGTGTAGATCCCCAGGATGTACCAGGGTGCTGGACCCATTCACTAGAATCGAATGAGGGGTTGTGGTATGACCTAGGGGTAGGAGTAGATATGTCTAGGGTAGGGCCTGGTAACTGACCCAGGGGGAGTGCCGAACACTGATAAACAGATGCAAACAAAGCATACACAGGAAATGCAAAAACTAATAGTGAACACATGTTAAAATAAATTACATAGAAAAACATGTTAATTTATGTAAATGACTAAAAATAGTGAACAAAACATTTATTCATGTTATCAGCAGCTGTTATGCAAACTGTAATGCTAAAATATAACTCGAGTTATTTCCATGTCTTTTCTCTGTTAATTCTCTATGATTTTCTCACATTTCTATAGAGTGTCAAATTCAAGCCTATAATAACTTTATTTCTTGTCAATTTCTCTCTTTTATCTTGTAATTTGTATTTTAAACACGACTCTGAGATGTGTAATTATGAACACATTTGTTGATATCAATTAAGATTACCTGGTTATTTTTCCCTTGTTATCTTAAGATTAACTATGAATAGAAAATAACTACTATTAGTTTATCCTTTTGGTATGCATGGAATTATGCCTTTATCCAGGGAATGGGCCCAAGTAGATAAAAACTCGTTATCTAATAATACTTTTTTTAATGCTTGTAATGGCCTTGGTGGCCTTAAAATTCATTAAATGGCTACAGTAAATAGGAAAATGCCTTAAGTTAAATGACTACTAGTAAATAAAATCACAGGTTATCATGACCACAGACTGGCAGCCATGATCTCAGGTTATCATGACCATAGACTGGCAGTCGTGATCTCAGACTATCATGACCAAATCATCCTTTGACAACAATGATCTTAACATTATCATGACTTGGCAACCATGATATTAGATTATCATGATCACAGACTGGCAGCCATGACCTCAAATTATCATGCCTACAGAGTGGCAACAATGAATATTTCCATGACAACAGACTCATTCGTAACCATGCTAACAGGCCACCATGATCACAGACTCCTAGACAGACAGACCTGCTCAATATTCCTTTTTTATGACCAAGTTACCATAGTAACTGTAAATATTTATGTCAACAAATCAAAATGTTTAGTAATATTGAGCAATTCGCAGATTCTTCTCTTGGATTGCATGACTCCCCTCTCAAACATTTCCTCTCATCTGATGATCATGAAAACACTTGAAATGAGAGAATCTAGAAGGAAACAGAACAAATAACACTTAAACCAATATAATAATATGTAAAAAATTCAGAGAAAATAGAGTCAAGATCTCCATAGGTTCAGAGACTTGGAACGAGACTTCAACAAAGCATTAACATGCAAAATGTCAACACCTGCCATTTGTTACAGATGCCAAACACCAACCACCGAATACCAACTGCAGTGGTGACATTAAACCAAATTTGTGTTATTTCACAGAAACAGATATTTACTAATCACTACGCAATCTATTGAACATGTGTATAACTTCTAAGCTTATTTTTGACCACTCTGTGTACTACTTAAGATAAGTAATTATGTGAGCTATCTCTTCTATGCATATCAATAAGGCAGTGACATGTGTGTATCTTATCTGGTTATCCTATTAATCGTGCATAAATACATGCATATTAATTCAACACATTCTGCTTCATATGGGAAAATTACCATTAGGTCTAAATTGGCATTTTCTCTAAATGTGAACATGTCTTTATACTCTATATCGATTTGGGATGAGATACAACATAGAAAAGATTTGTCTGAGGTTTTTTAGTCACATTTTTTGCTAAAATCAAAAAATTAGTTAATAATCAAAAAGTGACCAAAAACCTCTTGACTGATTTTCATTATCAAACTTCACATTGACTGAGGCCTTTGTGTTAACCATTGCCAAAATATAAGGGTATGTTGACATGCTTGTATTTCTCAAGGGGCTCTCTGGTAGATAACTTCAAATGGCAAACTCTGGTCATATGTACATGAAATTATTCAAATGACATTAAAAAATTCATCTTTCAAGCAGTCAAGTAATGCAAGGTTTTGTTTCATCCCGAAAAAAATGACACTTACACACATTCTGGGATATGCTTAAATAATATTGACACATGTTAATCATTCATAAAACTGACACACATTCATCTGGGGGGATACTGATATATTCTAATATAGATACCGACATATGTTCTACTATATGAAGCATACATACTACTGACACAGGCATACTAATATAGACAATAAATTCATCTTATTATACAGTAAAACCTGTCTAGTGAACATATCTCTCTAGTGACAGGGGCTTCAGTAGCAGCAAGCAACTGGTGATTTTCACTGGTTGTTTTCACAAAATCGCCGTTGTTTTTAGTTTAAGGGACTTTTTCAACTTTTCCATGTTGAATTTATAATTTCCATTAATTTTGCCTGTTGTTTTCATTTATTTAACCTGTGTCTAGTGAACACCTCTTCTCAGTACATGCTCCACTGGCTTCTGTATAAATCGCCTCTCTGTAGTGAATACCTACCTATGGTGAACACATTTTTATAGCTCCATAGGTGTTCACTGAAGACAGGTTTTACTGTACATTTTTTATTTTGCATCAACTGGACAACTAAGTTAAGCATTACTATGAATAAAAATAGTCTAGCTACAAGCCTCTGTGACCCCCTCCCACTACTTGACTACATAGGTATGAAAACTTCTCATACGGGGGGGGGGGGGTGAACTATGGGGGGCACAAAGGCTTGTAGCTTTACTATGAAGGGCTCCCCAAGAGGGGGCAGTGGGGTCGTTTTTGTCACTTTTAAGATTTCAAAATTCTCACTTTGTCACACTAAAAATTTACTTGTCATATTTTGTCAGATTCATTCCTTTTTAGTCAGTCAAAGTAATTAATGCACTAAATAGTCTGTTATGTTCCATTGTTTGATTACTGGTTAGAATAAGTCATCTTAACTTGCATCAATTTATATTCAGAACGGATTATCTATTTTTGTCACTCTCAAAACTCTTGTCAGCCCGATAAATGTGCAAGATTGTCACTTGCAAGCATTGATTTGTCACATTTGTTTGTTTTTAAGTACTCCAAAGTCCCATTTAGTCACATTTTTAGAGGCCAGGTCGCCTTATCACATATCCCTTGGGGAGCCCCCTATGAATAACTGACATGCACAAATGTTAACGATTCACTGAAACAGATTAACACACGTGGCATACGTTTACACCTACAAATAACTAAGATGTATGAATCAGTAGTAACATCATTAAGCATGTAATAAACAAGACACAAGAACGCACAAAACAACATAAAAGGTGAAGGTATAAAGCAACAATGGCAGAACCATCAAGCTTGTAATTTACATGTAAAATACATATACTTATGATATGTGAGTCTTGCATTAAGCCCCCGTTACATTCTCACCCTTCCTTCCCACATCCTATTTCGTATTTCCTGAATCAGTAAGCATTTCTAAGATTCTCTGTTAGTTTAACTACTGGTCCAGGCCCATAGCCAGAGGTGGGGGGGGGGGTTCTGGCCAAAATTTCATTCAAAATAATGCAGTTTTTCACTCTTCTGAGCACCTTTTCAAGTGATTTTGTCAAAATCTCTGGAATTTTTTGAAAAGTGAACCCCCTTGGCAAAAGCTGGCCTCTGAAACATAAAGTAAATCCAGTCTGTGTGGCATAGAGAATGATGAGATTGCAGCACACACAAGGCTTGATGCAAGAGTTATGTACGTGTAAATAGAACATTTGGGCAACACAAATCTGCAAAACATCCATGCAGGCTGCAGCTTACCCCGGGCCTCCCTGATAGCCACTTGGGCCAGTAGGATTTCCTTGGTGCTCCCTCGTCTCCTTTGGGAGTGCCTTTCTCTTTGGTAGGCTCATTATCTCCCTCATTTTTACACTGCTCTTTATCCTTGCACCTTAAACAGGAAAAACAACCCATCTTCAATCTGTTTGATAATCCCAAGTAAATCCTTGATAATCCATAATCCTGAGGTTAATCCTTTAATTCACCATGGCGATCACAGATGTAACATCGGTAGCAATGTCTCCTTTTTGTATTTTAAACTTTGGTATAAAGTTTATATATATCTACTTCATGTGTAGGGCTCCATATCTAATCTTATGTCACTACGCAATACTCCAAAAATACATAAGATACACTCCTATATGACCATATATATGAACAAACTTAACAACAAATTACATGACTATATGTAACTTGTACTTTAGAAAGT